TACATACATACATACATTACATACATACATACATACATTACATACATACATACATACATACATGCATGCATACATACATACATACATACATACATATTCCTTTTCCCGCCGCTTGGAGATGCGGCTTGCAGCGTCATATGCGACAGCAATCGCCATCTCATGCTCCATGACCGCTTGTGCCACGGGTGCAAGCCTCAGAGCTTCTTTGGTTCTCAAATCTTTGCCGCTTCAAGGTCGATGAGCGGCCCCAACATGGATGCCTTCCTCTGACCTCATGACCTATCATGAAGCGGCAAAGATTTGAGAACCAAAGAAGCTCTGAGGCTTGCACCCGTGGCACAAGCGGTCATGGAGCCTGAGATGGCTGTTGAGGGAGGATTGGGGGCCGTTTAGCGTCTTTTTGTTTGCCCATGTTTGCGTTTTGGAAGCTCTTTCAAATCTGGTGCATACAAAGATGGAAAGTGCTGAAAGCAGCAGGTGTGCATGACTTTTAGGCAACGACAGAAAACTATCCAGTTTGGCGTGTACAATGAATATTCATCATATCTAATTTTTGCGAAACTTTCGCGAAACACAAAGTTTTGAGGATAGCCTGCTGGGTTCGACAAGGTTCGACAAAGTTTTGCGAGGGTTCGACATAACATGAAACGTCTTCGCAATCATAATAATCATAAGTCTTTACAAGGACGTTTTGATCAATCATGTTGTATTTGCGTACACACCATGGTCACGATGATGGTTGTGGCCGATTTTGTGGCTTGAGCTGTTTAAATCTGACCGGCTTGCTGTCAGTGAACTGATTGCTGAAAATAAAGCAAATCTCCGTGCCTTCTCGTCCCATGTATCCAAGTCTAGATCTGCCTTGGTATATTGCCATCCCTGCCCCCACTTGGCGAAGCTGGTTGGTCTTCAATTTCATGATTAAAAAAAATCACCAGCTGCGCAACAAACACAAATCAAATATGCTGTAGCATGAAACCATACGGCTCTCTCGCTATCCCCTTAATGTTTAGGATCTATCTGCAGTGCCTTTTGGAGGTTCTTTTGGCTTTCATTTCTGTACTAGCCGAGCGTTCAAGATGTGCGGCACATCTGCAGATGGGAACAAACGAGAAAGCCACTGAACGTTTGATAAAAATACATAAAATTCAACGAACGTAAATTTAGACATGCCTGCTTGGAGAAAGTATGAGAAAGTCATATGTAAAGTATTCCGTACTGCGCCGCTGGGCTGAGATGTGCACGTTCGGCTGAGACGTGCATGTTCCAAGACATGGCCGGCTTTCTCATCTTTTCAAGACTGTTATATGATGTGACAAAGTAGTTGATGAAAGGGAGAGTGCCGAGCACATATTTTTCTTGGTTGCTTCCTTTCAGGATGAACCCATCAGGAGCAATGTTCATGGCATATACCTGATGTGACGTGGATGATGCTCAAACAAACCACAGAGGGTCCTGATTTTCGTCTAAAATTATTTTTGGACCTAATTTTGTCTGCAGAATCCGTGCTGTATACAGTACCGCCCATGTGACAGACCTCATGCAAAAACCCTGATAGAGGGCACAAATTCTACACATCTCTAAAAATTCGAGGCACACAGGTCTTGAATAATGGCTTATGATATATCCGTTGGTTGAGATAAATGCATATAACTGCTAGTTTCAAAAGCATTTTATGAACATTGAAACATGTTTGCTGAATTTTTGCCGTGAATTAACAAATGGCAATGACGATGATGAGGAGGGAGAGGGCGCAAGAAGAGGATGTGACTGGCAATGATGAAGATGAGGGGAGGGGAGGAGGCTATGATGTATATAAAACACCGCCCCAAAAATGGAGGCAACGCAGGGCACGGGAAAAAAAAACGAAAATTGCACGCAACAACATCTACAAACCTCTGCCGCCTGATAGCAACAAAGTGCATGAAGGGGGCCTAGCTCCCGCCCCCACGTGAAGAATCCCTTCGTCTAAAAAGTCACTCCTGTGCCCTCCTTCTTGGAACATGTGCTGCATGGAAAACTCAGGTAGCTAACGCTACATGTCGTGATGCTTTGCACTGCGCAGTGTTAGAATTCCACCTACTAGTACTACAACTGCTGCGTAGCACCTTCAGGCTTTCTGTCCTGTCCTCTTGCATATTCACTATGGAGATGAGACCACATGAGAACAGCAAAAGTGACATCCACATACATCCACATATATTGCTACTAGAATGACTGATTGGAAAACCAGAATAACAGTCTCAATGCCTTTTCTGCATTCATACGCTGGAGTCATGTGTATTAAATGATGCTGCACATTGCCACACCTCTTTACATTTTGAGGTCGCTGGCTTTTTGCATCGAGGATACGATCATTGGAACCACCAACCTTCTCTCCTTCACCGCTAGCAGGTCAATGGTTTCCTGACAAAAAAACGCTACGTTAACGTGACATTCTCAAACAACTGGCGATTAAATTCTGCAGAATGCACAAGCAAAACAGTCCTTAAACCAGTCCACAGCAGGCGCAACATGACAATCATAGAATCCAATGTATGTCCCCTTCGCTGCATCTCCTGTCAAGGACAAATTTGAACGCATCCAGCATCAACTTGACACATGCTATATGCTAGATCCTGGTATACTTGACGCTTGATGACGCTTGATGACGCTTGATGACGCTTGATGTCTAGTCAAGTCTACTTTTGTCGAGAGCCAGTGGTGGCATCCGCCTCCAGTTTGCTTCGCTATCATCAAACCAAATGAGTCCTCGTGCCTGCACAAGTGACATCAAGCGACCACATGGGTCAGCGTGCCAATATCCTCCTAAGGACTAAGGGAAAAATCAAAACCACTGTAATATTTCTGTAGCTGTAGCTGTACACATCAACCCCACTTGACCAGTTGAATATATATATATATAATATTATAATATGTAATATAGATGAATAATCGAAGGAAGTTTAGAAGTCAAACTTTCGACAATATGGACAGATGAAAAGCAGAGATGGGAAGAGTCAGAGAAGAGAAGAGAAGAGAAGAAAAAAACACAAAAAAAAACAAGTTCCAGCACCACCACCACCACCACCACCACCACCACTGCTACAACTACAATGACAGCTACACTACATTACACTACAATACAGTACACTAATTTAACTGGAATACATTACAGCTACAAATACAAATACAACTAGAACTACTCTACATTACAGAACACTACACTACACTAATATACACTAATTACATTACACTACAACTGCAACTACCACTACATTGCACTACATGACACTACACTACAACTACAACCACACTAGTTTACACTACAATACACTAGACCACACTACACTATACCACGCTACAGTACACAACACTACAGTACACTACAATACACTACACTAATTACACCACAACTACAACTGCAACTGCAACTACACTACACTAATTACACTACATTACAACTACAACTTACAACTACAACTCCACTACAACTACAACTACACCTACAACTACAACTACAACTACTGCGCTAAACTAGTACTACAATTATTACAATTACTACAATTAAGACAAGTACAACTTCAACTACACTTCAGCTACACTACAACTACACCTATAACTACAACCACAACTACAACATTACAACTTCAACAGCATCAACACCACTACAACTACAATTACAACTACAACTACAACTACTGCGCTACACCACACTACATCTACTGGTACTGAAAATATAGAATGGCTTCTACTGTGCTCTTCGACGCTCTTCGTTTAAACATGTTTAAACCGTATTAGTATGGATCCGTATGGTCAATCGGAGTCATCCTGAGATATCCTGAGTACATGTTGAGTACATTGTGAGTACATGTAGCTGGGGCATGAGGATGAGGCCGAAGCACCTCAGAACTTTGAGCTTGCAATGGCTTGGAACATCCTGCAGCCTTTCAACCATAGGTGGAGTCGATGCATCATCAACCACAATGATCTCTTCGAGCACCTACAAAAAGATACGAAGAGTGCCAAGACAAAAGAGAAATGGCAAAACATCTCTGACAGTATTGAAAAGTGCAAAGCAATACACACAGCATCAGATGCAATTTTGCAGCAAACTGATCACAATCTAGTCTGATCTAGCCAATTGCAAAGATCGCAGCCGCAAAGGTGTGGAACTTGAGAGCTCGAGTCCGGCCTCCGGAGGAGTTCTATTACAGAACTTCATCACAGTGTTGTATGCGTAAGGTTCGTTCAAGCACGGCAAAACCACTGACATAGTCCCAAGCCGGCCAAGCCCTGTCCCAAGTGTTCTCTTGTCCAAGAACTTCTTCTGCGCCCCAAATGCAGATGCCATCGTGGCATCTCTCAAAATACTTCCAGGCGTTGTTTCTGGTCCAGAGACACTTTCACCAAAATCGAGAAAGCCATGCCCAAATCCATGTGCATACAAAATGAGAAACTGCACAGAAAACTGCACAGGCGCGATCCTGCATGGGGAGCAACCTAGCAAGGCAGCAAGCATACCTGCTAAAGAAGCTGCTACTATGCCTAGCAATGGCCCCAGAACAGCAGCGATTGCCGTAAGATCAGGGTGATCTTCCTGGGTCTTGTCAGTTTCACTTATATCTCGTGCCAAGTATGGAGAGGAAGCAAGAAACAGCAAGGGTGCTATCCAGCACTGAAAGCAGCGTCGGATCCATCGCCCGGAAGCTTCAGACTTGGACCTTGCCATGAACACAGCTCGAGCAGTCCAGTGTGGTGCCAGTCTGATTGGACTTTCAGCAGCTCCTTCAACTCCTTCAAATCGTGTTGGTTGAAATGCTGCGTCTCATAGCAGCTGTGGCAAGACACAAACCGTCTCCTAATGAGTCAAAGCTCTTATGGCTATTCCACTATAGAGTATGCTGCATGTACTGCCTGTTCGATGTGGATCTTATACCAGGATTCCCATGGATTCCCCATCATTGCTTTCAATATCTTATGGCACTCCGTTGAAACCCATTGAGGTCCATCCACAAGGGTTGCCTTCGAGCCAATACTATCGTCGAATCTTTGGTTGCTAGTGTGATCCTACTGAATGTAGTAACATATCCAGGCTTTTTGGACCTATTTGGAGTACCATGAACACTCTTTGCACTCTGCAAAATGAACGTGCAGGTGCTTGGAAGAAAGCAAAACTGCAGCTTCTTGAGCTCAACGCACACTCCCAACCCAGTCATCCATGCTGGTGCAATGTAGTCAGGATCATTCTTGCATGTTCAGAAATTTAGCTTCGGTTTTGCACTATTCGTACTGTCTTCGTTCAAATTAAAAGATATATTTGTAATATTTTGTAATTACATGTAATCACTCCAGCAACAAGAAACTCTACAGCAACAGCACATTGGACATCCTTTGCAGACCCTTTGCAGCACCAGCAGCTAACGCCCAGCTTTGAGCCAGTCAGCTAAGCTCTTCCCCATGTTTTCACCGTGCAGAGGGACACAACTCCTTAGGTCGTGCCAGAGTGGATCGCTGGGAACCCAAAGTGCATTTACAGCTCTACGATGGTCTGCGTATGTACAGGGAACAGAACGCACCTTCCGCACCAAGCGGGAGCCGAATTGTGTAGTCTTTTCAGGCCAACTTGACGCGCGCTAGGGGTGTTCTATAGCACATGATTTCAGCCTGTTCTTTAAGCATAGATAATGAGAAAATCGAGGGTTGCCTTATTGCCACACAGACCGTCAGTCACACGCGCAAAATCTACGAAACAAATGTATACAAATGTCGCCTTACACTTTCAAGAAAATTTCTGTTCTTGCACTCTTGATTTGTTGAATGTGACGCGGCCAATCCATAAAATTCCTATCTACACTGCTTTTGCACCGAACACCTGCAAAATGGGGCGAGGATGATGGAGACGAAACAAATTCAAGGCAATGTTTCGACGACAGGATTGTCATTCCGAGATATTCCGAGCCTCTTTCAACGCATGATCTACAACCATTTCTTACCATCAAGACCATGCAATGCAAGTGAGTGCAGGCACAATGTACAAATATATGAAGTTGAATTTGTGTGAACCAATATAAGGCACCCAAAAGCGCACACCAAAGAATGCATTAAGAACATTAAAGAACACTGTAAAAAACAAGTGAACGTAAGATAATGTAAGCACATGCAAAAACCATGTAAAAACATGAGCTGCAATGCCTGTGGAGAAACGCTTGGCGTGTCTTGAGCATCTCTGAGCGGAGCTGTCTCTTCTTGGCTTGTCCTGCTTTCCTTGGAGCCAATGAAAGCCGAAGAGCCCGTGAACTTTTCTGTGAAGGGGGCGGGGTATTGCAAGGCACTGTAAGGATTAATGAGCCTATGAACATAGATGAGCTACAAAAGGCCATAAAATGCAATAAATAAAATCATGGAAACTTTCTCTGAACATCTTTGAGCTGTGTTCTTGCGTCTCAGGCATCTGCTTGGCGAGTTCGGTACCATCGAAGTACGATCTTGCTTAGGAGCACTATACCAGAACTGGCTAGCCTGAAGCAAGAACAAATAGGAACATGGAGAAACAGGAAAAAATGGGGAGAGATAGGAACACACAGGAACAACAGCTTCAAAACAAATAGGAACAAAAATTTCGCACAGCGATCTACTACATGGTCCCACCAATCCCCAAAATGACCCTAGATTGAAAGCCATGCCACTGTGATTCAAATTCCTCTCAGGAGCAAACCAGGCTGCAATTTCTGTGCGACATCTTTCTCCGCCTTGTGTGATCACTGTAGAAGTTTCAGATGCTGGCAGTCACAACATCTGAACGACGACTTCGTTCGCTGGAAAATAGAAACTCAAGGAGCCCCCAACACCGTTTATACCTTGTCATCACATTGTCAAATTGTGCAGTCTTCCAGGGAGTCTTACAGGATGAAAGCTTCTACAAGTAGCGCTGAATTTGTTTTCCACCCATGCAACGTTTCTCACGATGCGATGGCATGTCGTGAAACCCTACCTCCCTTCTGAAATCCTCCAGCACCCAACCAGGAATTGAATAATACTACGTAACTATGTAAGAAAAACCAGCTTCCAATGGAATACTCTCTATTTTGCCATTTCTTTATATACACTGCAAATATGTATAAATTACCATTCAGAGATCAATTCAGCTGCTCAGGCAATTCCGATAGACACTGTGTCGTTTCTACTTTGCAGTTACAGTACAATTTTGGGGAACTGGCAGTCGCAACTGAGAAGGCCAGTGTCCTGCGATGGCGGCAATGGAAAACCTCGAGCCACACATAGCCACCCCTTACGTTTCAAAATCTTCAATTATGTTTTACGTTGTTTCACGGTTTCATAATGTTTCATATGCTCGCCCTTGCTGTGTTGCGTCATTTTGTGTCCTCTTCTTCCGCATCCTTCCACAAGTGGCAGTTGCCACTGCGAACCTCCCGTTTTGCACATTTTGGTTGCAAGAAAATTGCAAAATGCTCAGCTGCACCGCCGCCGCGGATGGAAAGATTCAGTGGCCTGTTTCACTGTAACATTGTCGGCTTGAGACATTCAACATGGAGACAAGTCATGTGAAAACTTCCGCATCAGTAGCCTAGAGTAGGATCCCTTGCCCAAGATCCCCATAGTCTCGTTCACAACATCCTTTACCTTCCCGCAAGCCCCTGGCTGACAAAAGATCTGAGGGTGAAGTCGGATAAAGTATCAAGAACTTTCAAGAAGTATCATGTTATGTGCTGCTTGTAAGTGTTCTAACTCGTGGACATGCCTGGAAACCTGTCCAAATCATCTTCTTACCACCATTGTATGTAAGGGTGAGTTTAGTTTGAGGAACAGAGATCCTACAGTACACAATAGGCACTAGCTAACATGAATGCCACAGAGTTTCAAGAGCAAGCCTGTGGTGGTTACTGATAAAAAGGCTTGGCAACCCACCTTCCAAGGTCAAATGGCTTGAAGGTTGTTGTGACACTCTTCTAACAAGGCAGTATGCACTCACTTGCACTTTCTCCCCTGTTTCTCTCCTTTGTTTCGTTCTGCCGTCCTACAATTCTCCTTGTTGCTCTGTGATGTGCTCTTTTCTCTGCGATCCATTGTTAGGATTCTATGCATTCTGTTGTTTTCCTCCCACTGCTGCTTTTTTTGGTCGCCTTTTGGTGTCCCTGCTCCTGCATTTCGAATGCCTGCCTTTTTCTCTTTCAGCTAGATGGGCGTTGATGTACGCCCTTTGGATCATTTCAGACCGACTTCTGGAACGCATTTCGGTCGTTACACCAATCAGGACCAATAATTTCTGGCTGCTTCCAAAAAACAACTAATATATATATATATGTATATACAACTGATTATAAATGCGCATATTGAAGGATTTCTAGTTCAGGCCGGCTTCCACTGCTCTGATGCCTCCGCTGCCATTCTTGCCATATCATCCAGCAAGCTAAATGGCGCCTCCCAGCTCACCAGCAAACACCAAAAACAAACTAGATTCTCCCATATGCATCCATATGCATCCATATGCTACCTAGATTAGATGATGTCAACATGTTCGAGTGACCAACTTTCATTTTGAGATATTTTGCGTGTATTTAGTTTTGAACCCCGACATCTTATCAGACTGATTCCGTAGATGCGAAGTGACATGGATCATAATGTCATAGAGCATAGAAGATTGCTTACAAAGCGAGCGTTAACAGTCTGCATCACCGAGTTGGCAGCCTCAGCTCCAACCCTGGAAGAAAAGTGAGAGACCTGAGATCAAAAGTATTCAAAAGAAACACAGGCACACAGTATAGCATAATCAGCATACAAAGATGTAGAAAGGCACAGGTACAAAGTAAGAACGGTATACTAAGTGATTGGACTGATTGGACACTTCTCAAAGTATTGGCACGACAAACGGCATCCTCACATACTTAAAGAGGACGGCACACCAGACAGTAACAGCAATGTCCCAAGGGTCGCAGATGCCTCGGCTGCGCTTTTGAAGGATGCTACAGGTGTTCCACAAGAAATCTGCAGAACACATGGCACAAATTCTTAGAGAGGCCCAAGCGAACTCGGCCATTTGTGCATGGCACTTTCGCACCAGCAAGAAAAAGGCCTTAGGCAAAAACCATCCAAATTCCAGTTAAATATACCACACAGTTATACACAAACTTCTTAACACGGATTAAAACCGCTCCCAAACTTCAGTAGACATGACTTCAAGAGATCAGGGCCCGTGCGATGACAGATAAGGTCAGCACTACGGCACCTGCAATCAAGCAGCCAGTTTTTGCCTTCATCAAACCTTATATATATAATATTTATAATGATATATCAAATTTAACACATCTACAGTAACAGTTATGGGGATTTGTTGGCTGAATCCAGGAATACAATGGAATGAAGGCACGATTGTGCAACATGATCTGCATCAAAATACCACGCAACTCTCAACTAGATACATTTTCTCTGTATGCCTCATAGACTAGCTGCTTTCAAACATTTCATGACCCTCTGATTTTCAAAGGCGCCAATGAAATGCGCACCTACAATTCTGTAGGATGACAGCAGGCTGGAGCCCAGCCTAGACAAATGCAAGCTCTAATTCCCCAGGTTGCTTCCTATCTGGCCAGTGGTTGATGTCGAAACACATCACATCACAACAAAACAACACCCCTCCCCACCACACCCCGCCCCGACCCCGCCGAACCGCAACACACACACACACACTTGCTCAGAACAGTCATTGCGAATTCTGATGTGGAATGCATCTGACGTGCAAAAACACCAACAATAAATTGACACGAAGAATGAATATTTATAAAATTATATATAGACGTATAATCACAGACATTGACCGTATAAAACAACAGCGATAAAATATATAGGTCCCCCCCAGCTGCGACTTATATGCGCCCAGGGGCGGGACTATATATATATATATATAAATAAATAAATCTAAAGTTGCAGGTACAGGAAACCGGCCGCGTTTCCCATCCCACTCATGTCCACAGCTTCATTGCGTGTGGTAGGACATGAGTGCCACACGCCCCTGCAGTAAAATGATGTTTTACATCTATAAAATGATGTTTTACATCTATACAGATGGTACACACACACAGTGTGACATACATACAACAACTGGCAACACGCATCTCATTTTGGACCGGTTCCAACTGGCTCAATATATTCTAATGATCCCTTTCCAGTGGGTTGCTAACGGTTAGTAGAACTACAATATTACTGAAGCAAGAGAGTACGTATAGTAAACCAAAGAGATTTTGACACGCTCACATGAATGCTATCATTGCCTCATTGCAGCTGCTTTGATGCTCCAGTGCAGTGAAATCTTGAAATCTCCGCAAGCTAAGCCTTCGACTGAAACACCTTTTCTGGTGAAACGTTTGCCACACGACATGCCTTGCAAATTTGTCAGCCAAAAACCATACACTTTAGGACAACATACCAGCGTAAAATTCATGACTCCTGCAAGTTGAAGAGCGCCGGGCTTCCGCCCACCTTATCCACCTTCATGCATAAATTTGTCACGAAACTTCCTCCTGTACTCGACTTGGGTCGCAGCTGCAAGTGCAATGAGAGTGAAGAGACCACCCGTTAAGAGAGCAAGAGCCTGGACGCAAACTGACATGGATATGCGCTGATATGCGTGCAATTGGGTGCAATTGCGATCAATTGCGTGCATGTGTCAAACAAATAGGATCAAGTAGGATAAAATAGGCACAGTTGAGGACCACTTTGATGTTTTCTTGTCAGGTTCAACGTGGTTCCAACCATCCAAAAGCATCAAAAAACACAAAAGCGGATGATACACACATTTTGAGGGTCTCTCAACGGCTTGTTTTCGTTCAAGGTATTTTGTGTCGGATGTAGTGGCCAAACCTCCACTGTATTGCAGCAATGTTGATTGAATTCCGCTAGACAAGACAACCTGTTGAGATAAGGTCTTGGCAAGTTTCCAAGTAAAGTAACTGAGAATCGCCTCAGCGTGGTGTCAAAATTACTCGCAAGTTTAAGGAAAAACTACTTTGATGCACATCATATGAAGGTAAGGGGATTTCTCAGGCAGTGTGCCCGCTCAAGAGGTGAAAATTTGACCGCAAAACTTTACGGTCTGACTCACCTGAAAACTTGAGGGAATTGTTATTGTATAGGTAGCGAGAGATGGCAGGGAAGGGTGAAGCGACAAGTAGTTTTGGATTGGCAGGTTGGGAACAGGGCATCGCGAGCCCGGATTTCCACTTTTGTTTGTGTAATTACCCTGCGTGATGTGAGTTGAGGTTGTCTTGGCGGCAAGTGCTCGGATTTAAGTCCTGCGCTTGTCTACTTGTGTGGTCTTGTGTGGTTGCTGTTCACAAAGGGTTGGAATATGCTGCGACCAAAACTTTGTGTCATGATGGCTGACATGGCTGACATGGAGATAATTCGGTGGCCCAAGCCGTGGTGGAAACCTCACCAGGATTTGCTGTTGGAGGCGTGCGGAACAGCAAAGATTGAGCTGCCGATTTGCTCTAGGCCTGGCTCTAGGCCTGGCTCTAATGGGATGAATGCTTGGTGTATGATTGGAAGGGTGCTTAGCGGATCAATCAACGCCGTCCTAGACTCTTAGACCACCAAAATCCACCAAATCTTTGCCCAACTCTTGACGTGCTACGCTATGCTACGCTGCCACGGTGCTAAAATTTACTTCCTTGGGGGGATCGAGCCCATCCCAGGGCTCCGAGACCTTAGAGGGGCGGGGCCCTTGCTCAAGTTTCATGCAATTTGTGGTCTCAGTGCTTGCCCAAAGCCTTGCTAAAGCAAGAGCAACTCCAGCTGGTGCTAGCTTTGAAATTTCAAAATTGACACATTAGGCCAGATTGCCAAATTACTTGGTTCGATCACTTGGGTTGCTTCGTGCGGCTTCCCTGTGTGTGTTCCACACGTGGTGTATCATTGGCATAGGCTGTTGCAAGCCGCCTTTTTGCTGGACTCCATTTACAGCCGTGCAATTTTGTACCTGTCCTACGCTGAAGACTGTGTGAACGGCGCCATGAACTGCAGTGATATGAACGTCAAAACTCTGGCCGGGATGAGGAACAATCCGTTGCTGAATGGTGCATGTGGCACCTGAAAATTATGTAATTGTGAATGCCTTTTTGACTTTTTGATCTTTTGGCTGTGGAAAAGTAACATTGTGGGATCTCGCAGCTCGTGGCATCCTCTGGCACAATGCAGGGGGAAAACCTTGCCAAGCAAATGTGACATGAACAGGCCGCTGTTATCTGCGGATTATATGTGTGATGTTGTGCGGTTCGCATGAATCAAGACTTTGCGATGCATATTTTCAGTATATCATAGTATACTTAGTATACAGTATTTACTTGAACATTTGTGTCTTATCTGTCACTGTAAATATGTATGTATATATACACAATTATATGCATCTATATTCAGTGTATGCGCAAGCAAATATGCAAATGCATATTGTTGTTTCGTATGCACCGCCTGCATGTGTGTGACAAACCATTAAGTCCACTGGAAGTACACGTGGCCAAAAACTTCTCAAGATTTTTTGGTAATTTTCGTCTTACTTGATCTCTGGGCCTCCAAATCTATTCGCGGTCAAGAGAGAGCAGGGCGTTTCCTGCAACTATGATATAGCATGATATAGGATGATATATGTCTATACTATATATGTATATTATAGCTTCCACATTTCATTCTTGCGGAGACAGTGGCCTGAGGATGTCTGCAGATTTCTGAAGGATTCTGAAGGTGTCTACTAAGGCACTGTCAAAATCTGTCAAAGTGAAGTAAAAAGAGTGGCTTTGCTTTCCTAAGGGCCTTGCAGCTGCTGCAGCTGCAGTGATTCCAGCAAACCATGGAAACCACTTGCCTGTTTTGTGTCCAATTCACGCTCTTCTGACCACGCATCAAACATGACAAAAACATGAATCAACTGAGGCCCTGCTTGCGTGGTTGATTTATCCAATAACCAATTCTGGTCTACTATGTCAAGCAGTACAGCCGTTGCCGTTGCCATCACCCCACACCCGCAAACAAACATGACAAACATATCCCATCTACATTGTCACACACACACACACACATCTCAACACTGATCATGCAGGTGAAAACTGACTTGCTACCAGCAGTTCAAAGAGATGACCCCAGCATCGCCTGCCTTCTGGAAGGTCGACGCTGCCAAATAACGGAGCGTCAAAGTGCTGCCTGTCCTCACAATTTCGCGAAGATTCGACAGTGCAAGCAACCGCTGATCAAATTTTACCAAAGTGCGCTCAATGTGCGGGCTGTGTTGTGTATAGGTGCTTTCATTTTCAAATCCTCAACATGCATGTCTGAACAACTGTGGAACGATGACGCCGCGTGACTATGCGTGACTGCAAAGTGTCCTGCACCACAAGGCCAACCCAGAGCCCCAAGCTAGTCGACGCAACTGCAGCAAGCATATGTGGCAGCCTGACGGCGCTGCACCCCGCATGAACCAAGTTTGATCGAAGGAACCCATGTTTGAGACTGGCAATGATATTGGTAATCTCGTCTTCTTGTTGATAAATCATCACGAAATATCATGAATATGTATTCTTGCCTTCAAATCTGCCATCTAATACCAAAATCATATTTACATATTTTTTAAATATATTTATTACAAAGCTGTAGGTTGCCTGCTGCATCCGCACACTTTGCAGTTTTCTGCATGTTGCCCCATGACTTGCCATTTCAATTATGTATAAAGCTATTTGGTATCTTGGCATCTTCCATGGAATTGGCATAGATGAGCCGAACAGCTGCATAGCCTGTGATCTACGCGGAATTTCGTTCTTGCTAAACTGACTCAAGTGCTTCAAGTGTTTCGCACTGTAGACTCTTTAACAAAGGCCAAACCATTTCGATCTTCCTCCACAAATCTCTGGCTTATGCCCGGCTTACACTATTTCGCAGTAGTCGGACCCCTAATGGGCCGTGTGTTTTCGTGAGAATTCTCTTTTTTAGACCTTCGACGGCTGTGAGTTTCTACATACTTTTGCAGTTTGCTCTGAGTTGGTGTACTAACGATGCTTTGGACTTGCACACACACACACACACGTGATGCGACGCTCTTCTCTTCCGACTGGCACGGAAGGGGTGTGGTGGAGTGGGGTTGTAATCTTCCATCGGACTTGCAAACATAACGCTGCTCTTGTGGCTACGCTCTAAACTTCAGTCACGTAACTTGCCACACAATCTTGATGCTACGCTCTAGGCTTTACATACTAACTCATATAGAACTTGACAAACACGATTGATGCAAAGACGAACTAGTTTTGGGAAATTGCGAAAGTGAAATTTGCAACCGAAGGTCGAAATTGCAAGCCAAAAACACCCCTAGGTGCTTCTTTCTCCACCAACAAAATGCATGGCTCAGCTTAGGGCTTTGCGTCAGGCTCATCTTTAGAATGTAAGGCGTCCATGGTTTCGAAAGTTTTGACTTTCAATTTTCATGAATGTCTTTTTGGCAGACTGGATGCCTTCGGCCGATTGATTGGCAAATAAATGCAATGCACGGTTCGAACTGATAGTGTCTGACACTTGGACGGGAGTTTAGGTGCTTCCATGACTTTTCTTGGCATAGCTGCAAAAGCAGCTGATTGCATAGAGATAAGGATCACAACCAAAGTTTTGTGTTTCTGGCCTGGCACCCCAAGCTCAAGTGGGTAAAGTTGCCTTTATATATCTAGATGAAAAACAAAAGGACACATCTGTTTCTCCATTTTGCCCAACATAGGGTTTAAAGTTTAAAGTTTATACAATTTCTTTTGACACTTTGAAGGAGAATCCTTGTGAGCGACAAGCCTAACTGAAGGATGATCTCTTGCTATTGGAAAGAATTTACAGCGTTTTAAAATGAAATAACATGAATGCATGCTCAATTTGATTATGCCATTTGCAGTTTTTGGATTTGAGGCTGCGCGGACTCTGCAGCCTTCGACCCCAAACAATCGCACCAATGCCTGCATCAGTCGGCCATTCAGGAAAGACGCACCATCAAACAGAATCAAACCACCCGTTGCAAGAAAGAATATGAACTAAATGCAGCAGACGACAGAGAACACCTTTTACACTTATACATTCAGTACTTTTTCCCTTTTCTGCTTGTGCCAATTGCACAAGCGAGGACTTGGATAGAAAAGAAACTGAGTTCGGAGCCAAGGATAAGGGCAATGGCATGTAGCACATCTGGGTCTCCCAGAAAATGCTCTACCTGCAGCTTGCCCAGGAGCAAACTACAGTGTTTGAAAGTTCTGAACTGAGTGCATGGCGCATCACGAGAAAACATAGACAGCCACTGACTGAACTCGCTGCTTAGAACAGCGCTCCGTTTGAAGCTGACACAGATATCACAAACTTTGCAAATTGCAAACTTCATAAAACTTGAGGACTCTCCTCCGGTCCCAAGGAGTTCAAGCTGTCGGAACAGCTTGCCTCTGCTGCAGAGAGCCACGTGCTATTGCTCTCGTTTGCGATGAGATCGCCTGAGTATAAAGCAACCCACTGCAACTGATTGGATGTAATTACTGCAGGTCGATATGTACCCCACACACACACACACACGTATATAATATATATATACACACTTACGGACATATATAGACACATATATTTATACATATGTGTGGAGCATACATTCAGGCGCACCATATGACATGGAATATAATGTGCTGCAATCTGATGTGATGTGATGTGATGTAATGCAATGCAATGTAATGTTATGTGTGTGAATAGGTAGGTACGGTAGGGTAAGGCTAGTAAGGCGGGTAAGGTAGGGTAGGGTAGGGTAGGGTATGGTCTGGCGTGGCGTGGTATTGTATGTTTGCGTGCGCATGTCAATGCAATTCAATGTATTTACGCGCACGCATGGACACATGATGTACATAGGTAGTATTGCACACAAGTGCGACGAAGCGAGAGAACCCTCCAAAAGTCTTTCAGGATCTTTCAGGGCGCTTGGCAGCTGCAAAATGATTTGGCATAAATATTTTGACAAAATGATGCCTGTCTTGACATGCCGTGACATGCTTTGAGATCTTTGAGTTCTTCAGGGACTGGGTCGATGGACTTGTTGCAACAAGCAAATCGAGGGCTGTGACATTGGATGTAGTGCTGGTGCTCTCCTTGGAAATCAGAAATCACGCTTTCATACCCTTCCCATGGAGATACGGAAAACCCATGAAAGACCTGTGCCAGTTGCAGTAATACTAACAATAACTTTCAAGGCGACTTTAGACCCATTAAAAGTTGAAAGAACAAAATTGACAGCTACCATAAGGTGGAGTGTGATATGGCGAGACACTGCAGGCTCAGCACTTGTAGAGTTCATCTCCGGCCGAAGAAAAGAAAATGCATTGGATTAATGAGTCATTGGACCCGTTGGACTGTGAACCTTGTGAACTTCGACGTTTTCAAAAGTTTGTTGCGTGGGATGATGTGGGATGATTGATATAGGTCTGTGACCTTCATGAAGGCTGCTTGACGGTACGTGACAATCGTGACATCTCTATTTCACTTCACCTCTCCACCTCTTGAATCGATTTGAGGATGCTCAAGACTTCAAAACGTGTAGAGTTTTGGACATGTTCCGTAGGAATCCGTATGATACAAACTCCACTTTGGCAGATTTAATCATGTGTTCTTCGTTTTCCCCTGACAAACGCACTCCTGTAGGAATCCTTTCTGCCCGTCTTTGATCCGAAAAAGCTCCACAACCATCCACAACCTAGCAATTTTTGCTTTCCCTAAAGATCATGGAAAGGACATATTAGAATCATTTAGAATCCATTTTTTTGTTTCTATTTAAGTGCTTCAGCCCCTGCGGCTGAGGTCCTTTACCCAAACATACCCACTTTATTTTAAATTATATCAAGTCTAAGGACACCAATTCTTGCCTGTCTCGAAGAAACATGTGCAACCAAACATCATGTTTGTCAATGCGCCAGTGAGCGTCTGCACATATTCTTAAATACATACAACAAACAGCCAAGTGGTAAAATATCTCGGCAACCATCCTGACCCTAATGGCCTGAAAACACCTCAGTGAGTCCGAACAACATCGGCTTGAAACTTTCATCTGCCGCCGTGGAGGAGTAACTCTCGCTTGCAAATAGATTTAGATCCTTGTATTCAGATAATCCAGCAAAGTTGATTCGTAAAGAGAAGCGCTCTGTTTTGCAGTTCAAATTGGGTTGCAATCTACACAAGTGCATTCGATGCACGGGTGCATTGCATGCATGAACCGTTTACCGAATTGGAGCAGTTTCGTGGAGATTCCCTCCACTAAGCTGCTGATATCGCGTTTTCAATTCAGTAAATTTGCTGTACAATAGCCTGCAATTCAAAGATTCAAAGAACTCTATCCTACACTTTGCTTGCAAGGTACATCACACATCAGATAAGCTGTCACAGTTGAGGGATACATGATTCTTTGCACCCAGAAATGCAGAAAACATTTCTAAGAACATCTGCAGTTTCAGACAATTTTTGACCTGCGCATCAATCGTTTACCTGTCTTTGGGTTTTGGCAGCTTCAGTGGTTCAGTCCATATCAGGCGATCTAACCAGCGTAGCCAAAAACCAGGGAGGCAAAGGCCTAAAGGCGACGACCAACAAGAGACACATGCAGAAGCAAACGCGGTCAAAGTTGCACACAAATGAAATATCACGACAAATTGAAATATATGATTTAAATTGAATTAATATGTCATATGTCCAAAAAAACATCAAAAACTGTCAAAAACTGTCCAAAACTAGCTGATGAGCAACACATCTGCTGATGCACACTGCACATATGACGGATTTACCACACATGCAGTTAATTGTGAGTAAGGCAGGCGCAGTGAGAACTGGCAGGGCTGACCAAGCCACAGCATCTTTTTCCTGTGTGGCTTGTGGCCTTCAGCAGGATGAAACAGATCTTGCGACTCCATAAGCTTCTTACAACTAGGTCCTATCTCTTCCCACATGGGGCCCCACATGGTGCCAGGCCGGTACCACAAGGAAAATGAGAGGACGCGAGACTGCCACCTTGCTGCCTTCTGAAACTGTTTGAAGGCCCGGGGCCTTGTGATCTGTGGCAGAGTTGGCTCCTCGTGGTTACGGGATCCATTCAAAAGCATTGCAATTTGCAAATTGCAATCGCATTGCAAGAACTACAGACAACAACGCGTCAGTCTGTGCAACGTTCTGCGCATTCTGTGCAGCAAGCTTTGACAAGCAAACAGGAGTGACCTACTGGCTCCTTATTCACTGAGAGAATGAGCTGTTCTTGCAGGCTAGTATCATGCCTCGGCAGCTGCTTTTGCATCTCGCGTCAAACGACATGTGCGAACAGGTACAAGTAACAAGTACAAGTTGCACGGCATTTCATGACTTGGCCGCACTGTTGTGTTGATGAACTTTGCATCTGCCCTGTGAAGCAGAATAATGATGAATAATGCCACATCATCAAATCCCAGGAAGAGGTTGTGGAGGGAGGGCAGCAGCAATCTGATAAAATCCCGTATATATATATATATTCTGAGTTGGTAGAAGATTCCAAACCAGAATTCCAAATGGGGGCCCTGTCCAACCACCTTCAAGCTGCTCGGCCACGTGCTCCTTTTGGATGCCAGGCGATGCGATCCACGCACCTATGCCGCTGCCCACAGCGGATGTGCAATCCTGTGGCTGCCGCGCCAAGAAAAGTTTCCACCCACCACTGCTCCTACAAACCAGGCTATCCTGAGCCTAACGTCCTTCAAGCGCTTCGGAATGTAAGGTCGACAAGAGATGACAAGAGCAGGTCGACAAATGAGCACATTCACACACCCAAAAAACCAAACTTTAAGTGATAGGATGCTCATTTGTGGCATTTAACGCTTTCAGCCATTTCAGCCGATTTCGAGAAGTATAGCCCTATCCTTGAGGACTTCGCTCTCGTCATGCAAGCAATAGCGACCTTTTCGGAGAGTCTCACGGAGGAATGTGGCCTCCATAATTTTCGTCAACGCATCTGCAAGTTGGGCTCCTGAATGAACCCAGTGTAGAGAAATGCCTTCGGACAGAATGTCTTTAATCGATCGTGCTAACAATTGGGTCCGAAACTCCTGACAGTTTGGTACTGCTGTCCTTGTAGTCAAGTCGAACAGACTTTTACAATCTGTGATTGCTACATCTCTTTCTATGTTCTTCCTTGGTGGGATCGTCAAAGCTTCTGGCAGAATTTGGGCATCCTCGGGTTTCTTCCATGGAATATTATGGTCAAGTAGCCATGCCCAATAGATACGAATCCATGTCAACTGATCAAGTGTCGTGGATAAAGCCGGTGTTTCTGCGGATAAGGTGCTCGTCACTACACGCTGGATTTTCTTGGTGCCCCAGGACAATGGGCTGATCACACATGATCGGTTACATGAAATGTCTTTATGAGTGGCTAAAATGATCATTCCGGCATGAGACTCTGGCTTTGCTTTGGATGCAAACGAGGCGTCTGAGAAGGCCATGAACCGCAAGTCTTTAGGATTGATTGGATTTATCTTGATTGTTACGTCACTGTTTCTTGGCAATGTGTAATGCTTTGTTGGCTTGCATCAAAGTGGATACAGTTGCTGAGTTGATCTGGGATTGGAGGAAGCTAAGGGAACTTAATAGATCTGGTCGGGTATGGACTGCTGCATATTGGAGTGATCCTATGAGCCCTCGGAGTTGATGGCATTCTTCTTCCGTGACGGTCTGATTTTCTTGTTGTCGTCTCTCTGTCTTGATTGGGATTGGATTGATGTTTTTGACGTATGATGTCTGGGACAATTCAATGCTATTATCGGTATTTCGGTTAAGGTCAATTCCCGTGACAGTGAATTTTTGAGACTTTTTGGACCCGAATGGATATTTCTCTAGTTTGGAAATTTGATTTTGGAAATACTTATTTCCTCCATAGATCCCATCGTCAACGTGGATACCCAAGGCGCCACACAGTTCACCTGTCATTGGATGTCTTAGCGTGAAAACACAGGGATCAAAAGGGCATGATGTGAATCCAAGGCTTATTAATTCCTCATAGAGTGTTTGAAACCAAAGGTAAGGAGCATCAATCAACCCATATGCTGACTTTTCTGGCTCTTTAATTGCATGGCTCTGATTGGTTCTGGTACTGGTTCAAGTCCAACCACCCTGTCGCCCTGAGGACGCCCTTGAAGGAAGGCGGCACGGATGTCAAAAGATCCTAAGACCCATCCCATTGAAGCAATGAGTTGAAGGATAATCATCTTGGATTGTTTTCCCAATGTGGGGCTGTCCCGTGGCACTTCGGTGACCTTCGGATCAAGATATCCTAATACTACAAGTCGGGCCTTTGGTTTATGGGTATGCAGTTTGTTTCCTTTCTCGTTTGTCTCTGGGTCTATGCCTTCCCTAGGTTTCCATACAAGTACCCAACGGCATCGGAGAATCTGTTCTGGAGCCAGCTTAGAACGAAGAACTTTGGAGACGGTTCCAGTCTTCAACCAGTTTTGGATCTCTGAATCCTTCGCTTCTTCGAATGCCTTTCTTTCCTCTGCATTGAGGGTAGTCAGTTTGACTTCAGTTCTTTGTTTCTTTTCAGTTGTGGCAAGAAGAATATCATCAGAGGTCCAATCCTGAAGTTCCTCAGGGCTCAGGCCCTTATGCATGACCACATCTTCACAGCAAAGCAAAATGGGTTGTTGCGAAACCTTCCTCATCACCTGGATCCGGTATGGGTGTTTCCACTCCAGGGTCAGGATTACCCGGTGCGTCAATGAACTCCGGTGGAGTTGGAATGGCATCTGGCTCATTGTCAGGTTGTTCAATCGATTGACTGCTATTGTCAGTGTCTTGGTGGGAAGTGTTATCGTTACCTAAATTACTGTCATTATGAGGAATGTTAAGGTTATCATCTTCAGGTGGATTAGATGGGGTCATGGTTGATTCATTTGACTTCAAGCTTTCATTGACTTCATCTTCAGGGATCATGCGAGCTTCACTGGTGCACAGCGGGCGAACATGTTCCGGTGCACGCCGGTACAGCTTTCCAATCTGAGTGGCCCAAATGGAAAAATGGCTTTCCTGATTCACAACTTTGAGGGGTGCAAACCAATACCCAGTCGGTTTCTCAGGCTGCCACATCATTACCCATTCCCCCGGTTGGTAGGCCACTCGGTCAGGCCGAGTCCGTCTGGCCTTTTCTCGGAAGTCTAAGCTCTTGCGAAAAGCAACGCCCTGAGCGTCATCTCTGTCAGCGCTGGCTAGGAAGGTGTCATTGACACTACTTGTGATGGACCCAGGCAGTCGTGAGCTCTTTCCAAAAACCAACACCTCGGGTGAGTATCCTCTTCTGATACTTAGAGAATTCTTGGCTTGAGTACATTGGATCAGTGCTTGATGCATTTCCATGTATGTGTTGATGGGATGTTCAGCTTCAATCTTGGATAACATTTCTTGGGGAACATGTCCATGTCTTTCACAATGGCCGTTTTGCCAATGAGCATGAGGTGCAATAGTTGTTGTTTTCACATCAAAACGTTGAAGGAAATTGGAGAAATATCATCCTTACACACTTTATCACTGAAGCCTAACTCATGTTTGATCGTGCAAGGTCGGGCAATCTTGGGTTGTTGTTTGAATGCACACACTTCACATGGCATGTCAAACACTGCTTGAGTTCGATCTGATCGGGCACCTTGGTTACGCAACGCTGCACTCAGCTGATTTGGGCTCGGATGGCAAATGTTTTGGTGAGCCCTTCGGAGCATCATTTGTTCTTCCTTGGACAGTGCCAGGAAACGTTTTCCTGGTGTTGATGAATGGAACGGTTCCATTAGCGTCTCGGATTCTGCATCCCTTTTCACCATCTGACTTTCAAAGTTCCTTGAAGGTTGTTCGAACTCCTGTTGTTCCGCATTCTGGATTTGGCAAATGTCTGGAGGACACTGTGGTGCTTCCTTGGACGCAGGCTCCTGTGGCTGAGATGGAACATCTGGCCGAGATGGTTCCTGTTCATCTATCTCTTGGCTGGGCAACGGATTGGCATTCATGCTGGGCTTTGCCGGATTGCCCGCAAAGACAGTTATTTTCACTCTGCACGGCTGCAGCTTACGAATGACTTGTCTTTTGGCTAGGCAATCGTATTTTTCCCAATCACTTTGAACGGTTACTTTCCCACTACCCCGAGATTTCATGATGGCTCTTCTGAAGGGAGCTTCCTTTGGACTTATATTTTCTGGGGGCCCCAGTGTACGTTCAGTTCCCTTGCAAGCGACTATTCCCTTGATGACTTTGTCTGGAAACAAGCTTTGGATCATGTTAACGATGTTGTTTTGCTGGATGAATTGTTTTCCCACTCGTGGTAGTGACGTTTCAATTTCATTCATGATGTTTTCAAGTTGGCTTAGGAATGTCACATCTGAAGGAGTTTGGCTGGAAATTTCGGATGGCTGCAGCTTTCGTCTCTTCTGTGGTTCCTGATTGTCCAGTGACCTGCCTTAGCATATCGAGGTTGCAGTACCTTGGGTCTCTTTGCAGACTGGTCGCTGGCTGTCAAGGTTTGCTCGGATGAGCTCACAGCATTCAATGCCATGAGAACTGGATCGACCAAACTTCCTATGGGCATGTCACCTGAAAAACTTTTCTTTAGCAACGCTTGAGCAGCCAATCTTGAGAACTTTCGAGGATACCGCTCGGAGAAGCGAGACCGTAACATCGGTCTGCCATGCACATGTGTCGTCCCCTCAATGGCTTGATGCTCATGACTTCGATCGCACCTGAGATCCTTCAGTGCATTGTGGAGTGCTTGTGATGTAGTCAATATGTGCATGCCCTTTTGGATCAACAGTTGGGTGTCAGGATCCAGGAAATTTCCTGACGTACACATGTCTGGAAAAGCGCTCAACATATATTGGAACAATTCCTGGAGATATGGCAGTGCAAACATGTTTGAACCCTTGAGCTGTTCCCAATGTGCATGACGGTGGTGCCGACGCTGGTGTCTGCAGATCACAAGGCACAGCGCAACTTGGACGAGCTTCGTAGTTCTTTCTTGGTGGATTCTGTCCCGGGCTTCTAAAGAACGTTGACTATTGAAGTTAGACCATTTGGGCCATGGACCACATTCTGGGCTCATCCATACATGTTTTGGCTTGTGCCGGCACAGGGATTCAAACAGAGACCGCCGGCCTTCAGATGACTGCAGATCGCCTTGGGAAATCCCAAAGCGAACTGATCGACCTTTCTGCATTTCAACCTGGTGTGTCAGGCTACTGTCGAGACTGCGAAACACTTCCATGACATCAATTGGCTTTCCAAGGCTGCGAGTGTGAAGTTGAGTGTCTTCAAGTTCTTTCTCAATCTTTCGCACCAAATTCCAGAATTTGATTCTTTCTCCATTTATTTGACTGTCGCAGAACGTGTCGCATTCACCTGGTAACATGTTGGGCTTGCCTTCGTTTGCAAACATTGCCAAGTCACTCGAAGACCGAGACGAGCTCATTGATTCCAGGGATCGTTCAAGCCGCCCACTGGTGTCAAGATGGGCAACTCTCCGCTGGCATGTTGTGTGTGGCCGCTGGAGGATGGCTCAGATGCTCCAGAATCTGGTGCAGAGCATTTTCCAGATTGACCATGCGGACGTTGAGCCCGTCTGCTGCTGTTCCTCGGCAATCACCCAAGGAGCCTCTGATTCCATTGCGCTCAGGATCTCCATGTTCACCTCGCTCACATCGGTGGGTCGAGCCTTGGCCTTGGCCGCCAGGATCTTGGGTGCAGCCTTTGCTTTCGGCAGGCATGGTGCTTGCAGAGTCTCTGGACATTCTCTGCCTCTTCGATCTTCAACTTGATGAGCTTGATTATGCGACGGTGCTCCATCTTGCCACTCTCGGCGAAGTGCTGCAGGAACCATTTGATCCAATAGGTCAATAGGTCAGCCACACATCTTCGAAGGTCTTGCCGGCATGAGTCTTGCCGAAGGTGATCTTCTCCCCCCTGAGCTCGGCGAGCGTGAGGTGCTCCAGTGTCTCGAGCTCGGGAGCTGGACTGGCGGCTTGAAGGCGCTGCAGGGGTCAACGCGTCATCTGCGCACATTGAAAGCGAGTCATCTGCGCACATTGCAAACGAGTCATCCGCGCACAGAGAAACCGCGTCATCCGCGCACAAAGAGCGGTCATCCGCGCACATTGATGCTGGGAACCAGCCATTTCGGGTTTGGTTGGGGTGGGGGGGTGGGGTGGGATGATAACGTTCATGTTCCTATGCACACACCGGCACAGCAACCTCATCATCTTTCTTCCCGTAGAGCAGAGACAGGCACAGCTCTTTCATGATCAGTTACCGGTGGGGTGGGGTGAGTTAATAAGGTTCATGTTCCTATGCCTGCACACGCACAGCAACCTCATCATCTTTCTTGCTGTAGAGCACTTACACTTATGAGATGAGAGGAGTTGTGTGAAATGAGTTGTGTTAGTTGTGAGATGAGCGGAAATACGTGAGATGAGTTGTGTGAGTTGTGAGATGAGTGGAGTAGTGTGAGATGAGTTGTGTGAGTTGTGAGATGAGTTGTGTGAAAGAACTTGGGTGAAGTTCAGTGAGAGAACACGAAGCAGCTCCACCAAATGCCACACGAAAGCAGCTCTTGAGAGAGTTGAGTTGTGTGAGATGAGTTGAGTGAGATGAGTTGTGTGAGATGAGTTGTGTGACTTGTGAGATGAGAGGAGTTGTGTGAGATGAAATGTGTGCATTGTGTGAGACAACTTGAGTGAAGTTGAGAGAGAAAGAAGCAACTCAGGAGGAGAAGGAGGAGAAGGCAAGGAATACAAACATAAAAACAAAAGCCCCACACAGAGATGTGAGGAAAAAAACCATAACTTGATGAGTTGTGTGATGATGTTAAAAAAAAGCTAGAAGAAGAATCATGTTACAGAGCTACAATGACAAAATCACACAACAAAAACGTGCACAGACGACCAACCGTCTGACGTGCACAGACGACCCACTTTTGACGTGCACAGACGAACCCTGAACCCGCTGCAGGCGCTTGGACCAGTCTGCCATGATGCGCACGGTCGATCACAGAATCTTCAGGTCGGGAACGATCTTGAGTCGCACTGCTGTTTCTCATCCATGCATGTTTACCTTCAACATATAAGACCTCATTTGATGTGCATTCGGTGCTTCCATGTGTGATTTCTTCACTCGGCTTCATTTGGGATTTGATGTCATGGTCAGTTCCAAAACTTTTGGTGGTATTAAGGGGTGGTTCTGGGGTGCAAAGTGGCGGTGAAGTAGCATGGGTTTTGTCGGCTTCGATACTGTCTTGTGCAACAGTCTCGGCAACTCTCATCTTGGCATCTGAAACACCCTGAATTTCAAGCAAACAAGTACAACCCTTTGGATGAAAGCGTCAAAGAAACATTGGTTCTAAAACGTGGCAGAACAAGTTCCTCCAAGTGCACGGATGAGAGTGTTGGATACGAGAAATGGCGTGGCTCCAGGAACCACAGCGACCTTCAAAAGCATTCCACATACTGGGACAACCATGGCTTGACTGGCCTTTAAGGTGCCTTGGTTACCAAACGGAAGACAATGTCACATGAGCATCTCTGAATCTGTGCACGTTCTCTCCTTTGGGGCGTTCCGGTTGGAACCTGCAGGTGTTGAACTGCGCCATCAACCTCTTGGGTCCCTCCGTGAACTTTCTCATTTCTGGGAGTTCCCAAGCAGAGAGATGTCCTTCCACGGTGCTTGGTGGGGGGTTCTCAAGAGTTGCAATCGCTGGCACTGTGCTGAGCTTCCTCGATTCTGCTACCTTCGACGCGATGTCAATCGACCTGGAAGCCAGTATGGTGCCCACATCGCAAGACTCCTGTTGTTTCGGAGTGTTTTCCTTCAGGCCGTAGGGCTCCTCTTTCGATCTGACAGGCCCCGGTAGTCCTTCTGCAACTCGATGTCGGAGGCGAGATTCGTGGCACCAGTGTCAAGGATGCCCCAGGTGTCATGCGTGGAAAAACATACATCGGCATTGGACTGGTTGTCCACCGGTATTGGGCTCATTGAATCCAAAGCCTTGGATTTCAAAGCTCCTTTTGAGCTCTGACTGGATAAGCCCTGGCTTCTGCATTCAGGCTTACACTCACGAAAGGCATTCGGATTGGCGGATGCATCATCACGGCATTGCGGTCGGTCGACCATCTGGGCTTGCTGTATCTTGAACTCAATCCTGCTCACTAATGACGCTACCCTAGAATTCTTAACCCTATTACCCTCAATATAAAGTTTCGGATTCTGTCCCTAGCAGTCGTCACATGGGATTCGGTGCAGTGGTGAATGTGCAACAAGGTTGAACCCTGAAAAAGAACTGTCTTTACACAACACATCTCAGTTTCTGCAACGGAGTCCCGGGAATGAGCCTCAGGGATTACCTCAGGGAGCAGCAGGAACTCATCAGGCATGATGTCCTTGTCATCGCTGGATGTCACACCGACCGATAAGGTCACCGGTGCTGATGTCGATGAACTGCCACCGGACTGAGAACGATTTGGGCATTCACTCTTCCAATGCCCCTGGCGTCCGCGCAAGCGGCAGTTGCTGTTCATGATCCTCTGCTGTAGCGAACGACGACTACTCCAGCTTGCTTTGAACTTGGACTTGCCTTTTCCAAATCCCTTGCTCTTATCTTTGGAAATCGGGAAGAAACCACGAGCTCGGAACTTTTCTCCAAGCTTACGGCGGGCTTCCACATATGTGGTGAAAGCTGCTGAGAGATCAGAGTCGGACTGTGCAAGCTCGGATGCTGCTGATTCAAAGTCCGCTACAAAAATAGCTTCATCATCACCTTCTTGCACTAGAGTCTCTAGCTTGTCATCTTCATGTACACCTTCATGATCAGCAGTATGAGCGAAATCATCATGCTCACCCAATGTTTCATTCTCCATGGTCATGGCAGCTTGATCATACACCTTCGATATGGCCATCTTCTTGGAAGCACCTGTCATGTCCTGGAAGAATGAGGTACCGAGCATGCGTACTGACTCTGTCCCTTCTAGAGACTGATCGCTATCCAAAATGACTCGTTTCTTGTCATCACTAGACAGCAATGCCCCACGCAAAGTGACATAGGCTTGAAGATCCTCAAGCTGCAGCTTCTGGGAATGAAGGCGCGTGCAGAGGATGTCGGCTCTGGCAAGATAGCTATCATGGCTTGCATCGGATTGCTCGGTGCACTAATAAAGTGCCTTCTCAACGTCTGAGTAACGCTTTTCCAGGCCAGTTTTGCCCCAGTGACCACCTAAAAGCTCAATCAGCTTCTTGATACCCTTCTCATCATTCACACAAAGTTCACTTTGATGCAGTTGGAGCTTTGAGAAAGCTGACCCCGTTGTATTCAAAATCAAACGAGTAATCAGCTCATTGATCTTTGCAGCAGGCCAAACTGAAAACACCAAAGATACCTTCTGTTGATAAACCAACAAATCATCCTTTGCTGGGTCGAAGCTTGGCACGAGCGCAGCCAGTTGGCTGGGGATTCCGCCAAAAGTGCTCTCAGTTGTAGCACCCTCAGATTCTGATGGCATCACCAAAGACCTGTAAGCTTCTCACAGAAACCAGATATTAAAATAGCCCCGGGTGCCCCGGCTTTTGGTGCCGGGGCTCCGTTACCAATCCGAATTGGTAGAAGATTCCAAACCAGAAATTCCTGTCCAACCACCTCCAAGCTGCACGGCCACGTGCCCCTTTTGGATGCCAGGCGATGCGATCCACGCACCTATGCTGCTGCCCACAGAGGATATGCAATCCTATGGCTGCCGCGCCAAGAAAGGTTTCCCACCCACCACTGCTCCTACAAACCAGGCTATCCTGAGCCTAACGTCCTTCAAGCGCTTCGGAATGTAAGGTCATATGCCGATCTGACAAGAGCAGGTGGACAAATGAGCACATTCACTATATATATATATAAAATTATATAAATATCATATATAATTATGAAAGATCATGAAAGTATGTGCAAAATACACACCTTACTCGGAACCATTCAACCTTTGTAGCCGTTTCAAGTTGGTAGCAGGACAATCCACAGGAAAGGGGTAGGGAACGACATGCTCTGGAAGTGAGAAAACTCCCTTCCGCTTTTACTCTTGTACTATCTTTGGTACCAAAGGTCTAGCCAGTCAAATCTGTCCATGAATTCCTGTCCACTCTTTCACAAGTTCTACACGGTATCTAGATATTCTTGCACTGTTCTGCTACACAGGGCGTGCATGCACAAACGACAATATTTATACATACAGTACCATATCATATCACACCATACCATACTAATGCCATGCATACACTACACTACATTACATTGCACTCATTGCCAGTGCCGTTACCGTTGCTGTCACCATAAACACTGCCATGTAACTTCACATTTACGTTACCATTGCCAGCATACATACCATCACCAGTACAGTTACCATTCCCATTGCCACACCTTTCCTTACATTCCACTACATTACAGTACATACCAACCAACCATACATACTTACATAATCTTACATACCAGTACATATATAATTACATATTATACGACCTAGTCAAATCATGTCAACAAGTATGTATATAAATCATAAATGGATATTGAGGTGCTGTTTTGACCAAATTTCCCACATAATTAAGGTTCTGGCTGCTGATCTTCACGATCTTCATCATCAAATATGCTCGGGGCTATCTCCACCATTTCGTCAATGCTCCCCTGCAAGTGCATGGAATCTAATAGACCAACATCGTGCAACTTTCAAACATCTGACTCTTGACAAGAGTCATTCGCGATCCCATTGCGACCAGGAAAGTAAACTCCAAATTGGATGAGAGCCAGCCAGTCCCGAGCCAACCGCTAGCCTCTTTCTCACTTGATTCCGTGAACTTCGCAGTCTCCTCAACTCCATGACCAAAAGGAACCTCACCGGTGAATCCCTCGCCGGTGAGCCCCGAACTGCCTCCTCGCGCCTCCAGAAATCAAAGGAATGGTAATCATGGTATAAGATGGTATAAGGAGCCGTTTCAGCTGCATTCCATACTTGTTCATCTTTGCTCGCTAGTAGATGCTGCTCGTGTGCCACCCTGTTTCTGCGGCCTCTTGGGTTCTGATGTTATGACAATCATAGCGCAGCACAAGTTGGGCTCAATTCAACTCATTCGGCAGCGTAGCTGGACAGGTCAACCCTAGAAAACACGTGTATTGCACCATGCCAAACTGCAGGAAAATGCTGGGCAGGGCCTGAAATTCAATGTTCTAGCTTTTCATGGCGGCCAATTTTCAACTACCTTACTGTTTTGAAAGTATCAGCCTATCAAGGCCTTTGCAAAAGTGCGAACTGAAACTATACTGCCCCCAATATCACCGCGTGCGCTGGGTTGTCTTGTGGGCTGGGTTGTGGTACATTTGTTCCTTCTGCAAGTTCAAAGAACATCCACAACGCCCAACCTAATCCCAAACATGACTTCCCTGGACAGTCTCACCTGACTACCACAGCAGCACTTAAAAATAATAGGCAATGTTGTGAAGTCATCATATGTCGTCATTAGTTGCAGGTAAGTTTATATTCTGTTGCTAACGGTTCTTGGGCGCAGGACTCCGACCGAAAAGCCGTCGCCATCCGAGCCGATGCCTTTGTGCACCAAAAAAATGCAGATAACTGCAGCATCTCTAACCAACCACATGCTAACCAACCCTACCAGATCCAATGTCAAGTCAAACGACTTGACAAATCAATTCCAGCGGAACAACAGTTTCCCCTTGCGCGTGCAAACATCTTGACAGGCTGCTGAGATTTCTTGGATCTTCGCCAAGACCGTATTTTGCAACGTTGTTTTTCTCGCTAGCCTGGACGTGGCAACCGCTACGGCTGCTATAATCTAATTACATGAGCTGGATGTATACCTCCACGCCATGCCGGGCCAACAATGCAGAAACATGCAAGTTCACAAATGTTGGGCAATAAAGTTCAATAAATGTTGAAGGTCTGCTGCACTCCGACTAATCTCTATCAGCGGAAACGGTAGCAAATTGCACATTGCCACCATGTGCCAAGATCAAATGAACATCTCGTGTTGAATCAATTTGTAATTTTCAATATCTTCTTTGCAAGTATTTCTGATAGTTGTTTTTGGACTACCTCTTAAACTTTGCCACTCTCCATCCAACGGTCCAAACCCAGAAACAACACCTAGTAGACCTTAGTAGACCTGTACACTTATGTCATCTGTGAAACGCGTGCACACAATTTGATATTATTCAGTCAATTTTGCCAAAGGAAGTTTTGTAGAGAAACTCTGAGTTATACAGTTATACAGGCAGTCACATTAGCACTAGCCAAGAAGTCTTAAGTCCAGGTGGCTTGTCCCGAAGTAGAAATATAGTGGAGTGAAAAGTATAACAGGGCAGAGAAGAGTACAGTAGAGTAGAGAAGAGTACAGTAGAAACGGTCTCGAAATGCGCGCGCGATGGAAGCAAGGTCTCAAGGTGACTTTTTCTCTTGTTCTTCACGCTGTGCTACGCTGCAGGTGCCGAGCTACTTTGTGCATGGGAGCAGCTGCATCAAGGCCGCCTGTTCTGGAGGTTTGACTTGTGATTCTATTGTGTTCCAAGTGGTAGATTAGAGTGGAACTGGTGCAACCAGGATGCACGAAACCTTGTGTTTTTTTCCGGCTGCGGCAAGGTTGCGTTGATGACTTTATGTTTCTCCTATTCTTGGCATCATCATTTTCCTCTGAAAAACTAGACGATGGATGGCCCGAGAGCGTAGAGGAGCAGGGTCTTCTGTTGTTAGTATTGAGACACTATATTACAAGACAATATATTAAAGATGTATTGTAGGCAGACGAGAAGAGTAGTATCAAGACAATAAATTACAAGTACAAGACAATAGTTTGCATCCTATCCTTCCTATAGTTTTTCACACACAGAACCATTTACACACAGACGCTTTTGCACACAGAAGCTTTTACACACAGAAGTTTTTACACAGAGAGACTTTTACACACAGACGCTTTTACACGCAGACGCTTTCACTCACAGGCGCCTCTACACACAGAAGCTTTTACACACAGACACTTTTACACATGGAAGCTTTTACGCGCAGACACTTTTACACACATAGGCTTTTACACACAGACGCCTTTACACACCAACGCTTTTACACGCAGACACTTTTACACGCAAACGCTTTTACATACAAACGCTTTTACACACAGAAGTTTTCACACACAGAAGCTTTTACACACAGACACTTTTACACAGAGACGCTTTTACACACAGAAGTTTTCACACACAGAAGCTTTTACACACAGACACTTTTACACATGGAAGCTTTTACGCGCAGACACTTTTACACACATAGGCTTTTACACACAGACGCCTTTACACACCAACGCTTTTACACGCAGACACTTTTACACGCAAACGCTTTTACATACAAACGCTTTTACACACAGAAGTTTTCACACACAGAAGCTTTTACACACAGACACTTTTACACAGAGACGCTTTTACACACAGATGCTTTTGCACACAGACGCTTTTACACACAGACGCGTTTACACACAGACGCGTTTACACACAGACACTTTTACACACAGAAGCTTTTACACACAGAAGCGTTTACACACAGAAGCGTTTACACACAGACGCTTTTACACACAGACGCTTTTGCACACAGACGCTTCTGCACACAGAAGCTTTTACACACAGACACGTTTACACACAGACGCGTTTACACACAGAAGCTTTTGCACACAGAAGCTTTTACACGCAGACATGTTGACACACAGACGCGTTTACACACAGAAGCGTTGACACACAGACACGGTGACACACAGATGGTTTTACACACAGAAGCTTTGACACACAGACACGGTGACACACAGATGGTTTTACACACAGACACGTTTACACACAGAAACTTTTACACACAGGGTTGCCGCGGAGGTTGTAAATTTAATTTGCAATTTTGTTGCAGTTTTTGACGATCGAACCTCATTTCGTGCCAAAGGGTTGCCGCGGACATTTCAAAATCGCAATTTTACCCCAGTTTTTGACGATCGAACCTCATTTTGTGTGAAAGGGTTGCCGCGGCACGACACGCTCGAAATTGCAATTTTACGTCAGTTTTTGGCGATCGAACTTCATTTCGTGCGAAATAGTTGCCGCGGACATTTCAATATTGCAATTTTACCTCGTCAGTTTTTGGCGATCGAACCTCATTCCGTGCGAAAGCGTTGCCGCGGCACACTCAAAATTGCAATTTTACCTCAGTTTTTGGCAATCTAACCTCATTTCGTGCGAAATGGTTGCCGCGGACATTTCAAAATCGCAATTTTACCACAGTTTTTGACGATCGAACCTCATTTCGTGCGAAAGGGTTACCGCGGCACGCTCGAAATTGCAATTTTACCTCAGTTTTTGGCGATCGAACCTCGTTTCATGCGAAAAGGTTGTGTTTTGTGGCGTCTCCTTGGCACTGCCCCGCGCCTTCAAGAGAGAAATAGAATTCAAGGAAAGCAAGAGGGCAAGAGAGCAAGAGGGCAAGAGAGAATGTGAAGATGTGAAGATGTGAAGATGAGAAGATGGCAAGATGAGAAGATGCGAAGATGAGAAGATGTGAAGATGAGAAGATGTGAAGATGTGAGGATGTGAGGGTGTCAAGATGTGAAGATGAGAAGATGTGAAGATGAGAAGATGTGAAGATGTGAGGATGTGAGGGTGTGAAGATGTGAAGATGAGAAGATGTGAAGATGAGAAGATGTGAAGATGTGAGGATGTGAAGATGTGAGGATGTGAGGATGTGAAGATGTGAGGATGTGAAGATGTGAAGCTGTGAAGATGAGAAGATGTGAAGATGTGAGGATTTGAAGATGTGAGGATGTGAGGATGTGAAGATGTGAAGATGAGAAGCTGTGAAGACGAGAAGATGTGAAGATGAGAAGATGTGAAGATGAGAAGTTGTGAAGATGAGAAGATGCGAAGATGTGAGGATGTGAAGATGTGAGGATGTTAGGGTGTGAAGATGTGAAGATGAGAAGATGTGAAGATGAGAAGATGTGAAGATGTGAGGATGTGAAGATGTGAGGATGTGAAGATGTGAGGATGTGAAGATGAGAAGCTGTGAAGATGAGAAGATTTGAAGATGAGAAGATGTGACGATGAGAAGAAGTGAAGATGTCAGGATGTGAAGATGTGAGGATGTGAAAATGAGAAGATGTGAAGATGTTTGACAGACCCCCACTATTAGAAGGACCCTGCGCTCAGACGCTCTCGGGAAGTACCTTCAAAAAGCGCTTCAAAATTGTCACTTTGCCGCCGAATTCCATCTGGCTTTGGAGGAGCAATTTCCATTGCCAAATCAACGCAATTTCACATTGGGTCGAGGTGCAGTGACATGAGAAAAGATCAGACGAGGTGGGAATAGTTGAGAAGAGAGTTGAGAAGAGTTGAGAAGAGGTGAAAAGAGTTGAGAAGAGAGTTGGGAAGAGTTGAGAAGAGGTGAGAAGAGTTGATAAGGGTTGAGAAGAGAAGAGGCGAGAAGAGGCGACAAGGGTGATAAGAGTTTAGAAGAGTTGAGAAGAGTTGTGAAGAGGTGAGAAAAGGTCAGGATGACTTCAGAAAATTGAAAGGAACTGAAGAGATTTGAGGCCTCATTCTACTCCAATAGTAAAACATTCCTCTCTGCTGGAAACTTCCTGCCACCCGCCTTGTGCGGGCTTTTCTTGAATACTGTATATCATTGTGTGATAGTCTGATAGACTATTGAATGGCGGCAGCTCTCCATGAACTGCAATTTGGTTGCTCTACTCCTGGAATTTCTCGAGCCCTTCTCCACCATGGGCGCGAGGCTTGAATCCCTAAAAAATCGGTATGCAAACACACACACACACATATATATATATATACACACTTATCTGCGTACTACAGTAGATATGTTGACGACCTTTTGGCATTGGCTGTGACATCAATTTTGAAGTACGGCCGGACAAGTGGGACAGGTTTCCAAACGAGTACACACAACCGGCGAACTTTCCCCAACACTGCAGTCAACTGTCATTCCCGCATGGAACTACGCCCCCCAACTGCGAGGAAAAGTCACCCCAACTTCTTCGCTCATTGTAAACGCAGCACCAAAATGTAAAACATCAAAAAACCACAATCCCAAACTTACAAAGCACCATGAGAACGCAAGTCACCCCAATGGTTTCAAACTAGGCAATAAAATTAGCAACAAAATCATATAGTTCGATATCAAAACACCACATGAGTGCATGATCCATGTATTTTTTGGTAAGATCTCTCTTCTGTTCTAAAACGCATCTGATCCCAATGTTCACAGCAACATAGTTATTTAAACAGCCCACATGTTTCCACTGTTACCCTACCAGTGCACTGTAGACTGTGGAATGCGGAAGGGGAAGGAGTGTAAAGGGTAGAGTGTGGAGTGTAAAGTGTGGAGTGTAAAGTGTGGAGTGTAAAATGTGGAGTGAGGCGTGTACAGTGTAAAGTGTAAAGTGTGGAGTGTGGAGTGTAGAGTGTAAAGTGTACAGTGTGGAGTGTACAGTGCGCAGTGTGGAGTGTGAAGTGTGGAGTGTGGAGTGTAAAGTGTAGAGAATGGAGTGAGGAGTGTAAACCGTAAAGTGTGGAGTGTAAAGTGTAGAGTGTGGAGTAAGTTGTGTAAAGTGTAAAGTGTAGAGTGTGGAGTGTAAAGTGTGGAGTGAGGAGTGTGTAAAGTGTGGAGTGTGGAGTGTAAATTGAGGAGTGTGGAGTATAAAGTGTGGAGTGAGGAGTGTGGAGTGTATAAAGTGTAGAGCGTGGTGGAGTATGGAGTGTAGAGTGTGGAGTGTAAAGTAAGGAGTAAGGAGTGTAAAGTGTGGAGTGTGGAGTGTAGAGTGTGGAGTGTGGGGTGAAAAGTAACGGGTGTAAATTGTAAAGTGTGGAGTGTAGAGTGTGGAGCGTAGAGTGTGGAGTGTGGAGTGTGCAGTGTAAAGTGTAAAGTGTAAAGAAGGGAGTGTCGTGCGTATAGTGTGGAGTGTAGAGTGTGGAGTGTAAAGTGTAAAGTGTGGAGTGTAAAGTGTAGAGTGTGGAGTGAGGAGTGTCAAGTGTGGAGTGGGGAGTGTGGAGTGTACAGTGTAAAGTCTGAAGTGTGGAGTGTGGAGTGTAAGGTGTGGAGTGTAAAGTGTAGACTGTAAAGTGTAGAGTGTAAAGTGTAGAGTGTAAAGTGTGGAATGTAAAATGTGGAGTGTAAAGCGTGGAGTAAAAAGTGTAGAGTGTGGAGTGAGGAGTGTAAAGTGTGGAGTGTGGAGTGTACAGTGTAAAGTGTGGAGTGTAAAGTGTAAACTGTGGAGTGTGGAGTGTACAGTGTAGAGTGTGGAGTGTAGGGTGTGGAGTGTAAAGTGTGGGGTGTGGAGTGTAGACAGTAAAGTGTGGGGTGTAAAGCGTAGAGTGGGGAGTGTCGTGTGTAGAGTGTGGAGTGTAGAGTGTGGAGTCTACAGTGTAAAGTGTGGAGTGTAAAGGGTTGAGTGTGGAGTGTAAAGTGTAGAGTGTGGAGTGTAAGGTGCGGAGTGTAACGTGTGGGGTGTGGAGTGCAAAGGGTGGGGTGTAGAGCAGGCAATGCGACACGTCTGAAGGGCTGCGTTTGCCACGCAAAATGACGACAGAGATCTCCAAAATGTTGCTCCTGCCAGGAAAACTGCAACTCATCTTGTGAAAACGGCGCAAAAGTATTGCGCCTGCCACACAAAACGACATTCGACACGTTATCAAAACAGGTTGGAATGTCACAAAGTGCCGCGCCTGCCACGCAAAACGACATGACAACTTGCTTGAAAACCTTCGAAAAGGAGAGGTTTTGCATTTTCCCCCATTGACACGGTGAGGCCACAGGAAAACCAGAGACTCGAGAGGAGCATAAAAACGAGCATTTCGTGCGAGACTTCCTCCTCCAACTTTCACACTTTGTAGCTTCAAAATCGATGTTTTCCTGCGAGTTTTCTTAGGAACCTCTAAATTTGTACCTCAAAGTCGATTTTCATCAATTTTCATCACATCTCACAAAATGCCAAGCCTGCCACGGAATTTGCACCTTGTCGCCACTTGACGCAGCCCTGACAATGCAATTCGCAAAAACACGCAACACGACACGTCTCAAGTGCTGCGCCTGCCACGCAAAATGACGATGGGCACGTGCAAACTGCTGCGCCTGCCACAAAAACTGCAACGCATCTTCTCAAAACGTTGCAAAAGTATCGCGCCTGCCACACAAAACGACTTTCCACACGGTACAAGTCTGAATGTCACGAAGTGCCACGTCTGCCACGCGAAACGCAGCTACACGACGCTGGAAACATCCAAAAGTGACCCCTTTTGCAAAACTTACCATAGGCACCGTCATACGACCCTCACGCGAATGGTTGCGGACGGTTGCGAACGGTTGCGGACGGTTGCGAACGGTTAGGCAACGTCGAGCGAACACACCCTCCACCCCCAGACCCCCAGAGTGAAACGGGAACCCTTGCTACGCATTCGGGAAAAATATGACTTTGCGAGTTGAAAACACAATGTGAACGCATTATTCATAAAGGTTTTTGGGAAGGCATTTGTTTGATTTGCCGAAGCACCCGAAGACACACAACAGCTTTCCAATTTCTGCAACCCATCCAACTGGCCCAAATTGCGCTCTTCTTCAAACAAAGCACCGAATTCCCCAGCTGGTTCTACCTCGGCCAACCAGTCTATTATCATTACAGTAGAGCTGAGCACCCAGGTGGGTTTAAATCACGGGTTCCGAACGAGGCCAAAACGAGGCCCGAACGAGAGCAGAAAATATCTTTGGAAACCCCAGTTTAAAAATAACAATACACAACAACACAATATACAAGGAATCTGGAGGATGCGGCCTCTACAGTCGGAAGAACGATGCAACTCTAGAATGGTTCCCCCCCCGGCAGGGCGACATGTAAACACGTGACTGGATTTGCCCAACGGTCACATGAATGAGCCAGGCATGACAAAACAACAAGTTCACCAGTGTAAACGCAAGCTAAATGAAACAATATTTATTTCCAAAACATAATCTCTCTCTTATGCAAGTGCTCCGCACCAACTAAACGCATGTTGGGGCGACTTTCCCGGGAAGGCTCCCCGAACTAAACCTAAGATTTTGGATCGGGTGGGGTAAGTTCACTATGTAAGGGTACACGGGAGCGTGCTGAAACACCAAGAGACTCCGAACTCCGAAGCGAGCGGAAGCTGATGGGAAGTTCATGAAACATGGGAAATTTGCTGAGGAAGAAAAATGCGCTAATTTTGATCTTCTCTTTACTAGGACTAATGGGTCGTGCTTCAGCGTAGCCCTGCATTTTTGACAGGTTCATCACCTCACAGTAAAAGTAAAAAAAAGGAGGACTGCTCAATCTTTTTGGTCTTGGATCCTTCTGTTCTACAGAATGCCGGGCCAAAGCCAACCCAAACCTAGAAAAATACAAGTATGGAAATTCGATGAATTTTGAGCACCGAGGTTTGTGGCAAACTTGAGCGGCTGAGGTTTTTGGCCACTGGGATTGAGAATCCTCGTGTTGTTTTTAAAGCCTCAGCCGCCTGGGGTTGGGTCGGGGTCTGGGCATCTTCAAACAAAACAAAGAGAATATTGACCGTCAATACCATCTGGCGGCATGTTATGTACAAGTCCAGCGGTTATGTTTGCAGTTTCTTCCGCGCTATCTGAGCACCAATGTTTGCTATTTGAACCCCTTCCCACACCATGCCTGAAGAACCCAAACCTTAGTCCACACAGCACTTCAAGCCGTAGTCCTATGGGTGTAGGTTCATGAGCGGCAAGGGTGTACTGCAATTAACAAAAAGCGTGTTCACAATGCAAATCCCAGTTCGAAGCACATCCTCTCTGTAACATTCTTTGACCGATTCAATTCGAGGCAATGAATATATAGACAATCTTGCTGGGTTCTGTACAGTGTGGAGAAGCAGCAAAACCGTCCACCTTCGAAGATTCACAGTCAGCCGAATGTTACAAATAAGTTGGTCAGTGCATTCTGAAACTTTGCATTCACTTTCCGAAAGCGCTAACCTAAGCCTGGGGCACACATTTGCCACTGGCGCGGAAAGGAATTCTCGTCACCTGAACACTTGTGGTCGCATTACATATGTATGTATGTATATATATATATATATACATATCCATATTATAAATACAGATGTACCAATATCGTACAGTACAACAAACGTTTCAGTCAACCAGCTGCTGCACTGGAGACGCAATTCATATCTGTCAATTTTCGTTGAGGATCGGTTCAAGGGCTGACTGCAAGGACATTGAATGACATTCAGCACAGAATACCCAGTGTAAGCGAGCAAACTGCCAAACAGCAGCGACTTTTTGTCGCCTCAGTTGACTTTGTTGATCTCGAATGCAACCTGGAAGAGAAGGCTTATGCTTCATCATACTTCATCTGGAGCAACGAATCCGCCGGCCTGCCGGCGTGCCTTGTGGACCTTGCTTGTTCGTAGTCGTACTGTCTGTCTTGTCTTTTGTTTTCGTCTAGACTTTCCCCTTGGCGTGGATTTTTCCCTCGTCTAACTTGAACCCACGCCCCCCTCCCCTCTTCCCCCCCGCCTCTCCCGCCCCCAAGGGGCGTAGCTCTTCTTCGTCTTCATCGTCATCTTCCTCTGGGTGCTTTTCATATCTTTTCATCTTCATCCTTTGTCGTGATGTGCTGGGTTCAACTCTGCCCACGCCTTGCCCAGCACGCGCTTGGTCTTGATTCTTTTTGGCTCTATGGTTTTTCTCCCTTTATTGTTGTGTTTGCCATCGGTTTGCTCCGTCGTTTCTTATATCCAATACTTGATTTAGGTGGCCTGTCCATCCACTGGATTTTGTGCGGAACACCTTTTACACGCGTAACCTTTCTATACATGGCCTTTTCCAAAACCCTGGCTTACACACCCATGCTTTGGTTTAAACTTAAACCGTGAAACGGTGGTTGACGCAAAAACCATGTTTTGCCTAAATACTAAAAGCCATGGTTTAAGCAAAACGCTGTTTTACACAAAAACCGTGTTATACACAAAAGCTTTACACAAAAATCATTTTCTTGCTAGGCCTGTGCAAGCGCTGTTTGCAGCTTGCAGGATAGCTCTTTCCATGGAGGCCAGTCGAACACGCCGAAGGCGGCTTAATGTTCTCCATTCTAGACTCCTATATGTATGGCAACGTGCACCTGCTTACCTTGACTGAACAGCATCCTGCCATGCCAGGCAACTTGTTCTCAGCTTCCGGTTGCCTTCCGTGCTCCTGCCGCCCTGTCTCGTGGAATTTCTTCAAGCGCTGCTCCAAATTCTTCACAGCACCAAGGGCCTGGAAGACATGCGAAGATGCTTGGAACCTGCTGGAATCCTGAAGGTTTGTGAAAAGCACACACAAACACGAACAGAAATAAACACAATACTGCAGACAGACACAGAATTGCAGAACATTGTAGAATATATGGAGGCAAAACATGCATACAAACACGCAGAGGGAGGACACACACACACAAACGCCTCTTCCATGTCTTGCGGGAACTCATAAACACATTGAATGAAAAACAAAAAAGGAACATAAGCGATGATAAAACATGCTAAAACAGCATGTGTTGGCCTTGGGCACTCCTGAATGTCTGTACTCACAGGCTTCTTTTACACCGTCACTGCCTGTTGCAGTTCCAAGGCCAATGAACTACTGGAAGCGCGCAACTGGTCTCGCTCGGAGCACAGGTGCCTCATGGCGGCAGTCACAATTTGGTGCCCACACCTGTCTACAAAGTACCTCTCCCTGGCAGCTTTCAACAAGAGAACAATTAAATCTAGACACAAACACACACAATGTATCTACTCATTCTATCTCTATACACATTATCAAAGGAAGTTTAGAAATCAAACTTCCGACAATATGCACAGATGAAAAGCAGAGCAGGGCAGAGGCAAAGAGAAGAGAAAGATTAGAAGAGAGAAGAGTAGAAGAGAAAGAGCAAGAAGAAAGAAGATGCAGATGCGCGAAAAGGTAGGAAAGTCGTGAAGCACTGTGTTTTTCCAATGATTTGTGGCTCCGGAGGGTCGAAAAGTAGGCTCGCTAAAGCGGCGGGTGCGGAGCCAGCTGGCCAGATGAGATGAAAAATTGCACGCCGTTGTGGCGCGACTCACATTTCCAAGTCAAAATGTACAAAACACCTCAGCTTCGGACCGCTTTTGGAAGTTGAGATGTCGAAAAAGTGCACGCCGTTGTCGCGCGAAGCACATTTCGAAGTCAAAATGTAGAAAGCACACCATTGTCAGACCACTTTTGGAAGTTGAGATGTCGAAAAAGTGCACGCCGTTGTGGCGCAAAGCACATTTCGAAGTCGCTATGTACAAAGCACACCATTGTCGGACCACTTTTGGAAGTTGAGATGTCGAAAAAGTGCATTCCGTTGTGGCGCGAAGCACATTTCGAAGTCAAAATGTCAAAAACACCAGGGGTTCGGACCGCTTTTGGACGTTCAGATGTCGTTCCGCGTGGCAGGCGTGGGACATTTGAAGAGGATCTGCATAGATGCATTTTCCGTGGCAGGCACAGAACAAAAGACATGTTCATGAGAGATGTTAGGAGGTCAGGGAGCTGATTTCCTGAGAGGGGTTGCATTTTGGAGCATCAGATCTGTAGGTTTGCTAAGATGATTTTGCGTGACAGGTGCAGCACTTCGTATGACCTGGCATCAATTTTTCGTGGCAGGCGCAGTACTTTAGACAGGTGGAGTGGAAAAATCGCAAAACGCATTGGCACGAGGCTGTCAGTGTTGCACTCACCTTTCCATTTTTGAAGGAAGTCTCGCAGAATTGTTTTGCTTTTGATGTTGTCAAATTCAAAAATTGAAGAAGTCTCGAAGAATAGCTTCGTTTTGGATGTTGCCAAGGTCCAAAAATGAAGAAGTCTCACAGAATTGTTTCGTTTTGGACGTTGTTACGTGCAAAAATTAAGGACGTCTCGCAGAATTTCTTCGTTTTTGATCTTGCAGATAGATAGATAGATAGATAGATAGATAGATAGATAGATAGGCAGGCAGGCAGGCAGAGAGATAGAGAGATAGAGAGGTAGAGAGACAGAGAGATAGAGAGATAGAGAGATAGAGAGATAGATAGCTAGATAGATAGATAGATAGAAAGATCGATAGATAGATGGATAGATAGCTAGATAGATAGGTGGCTAGACAGACAGACAGACAGACAGATAGATAGATAGATAGATAGATGGACAGATAGACAGACAGATAGATAGATAGATAGATGAAAAAGACAGAGAGACAGGTAGACAAATAGATAGAGAGACAGCTAGATAAATAGATAGATAGATAGATAGATAGATCGATAGATAGATAGATAGGTAGACAGATAGATACATAGAAAACATAGACACGTAGTTAGATGCCAAGATAGATAGATAAATAGATAGATAGATATATAGACAGATAGATAGATAGAAAGATAGATGGAGAGACAGTTTGATCGCTAGATAGATGGAGAGATAGACAGATAGATGGCTAGACAGACAGACAGACAGATAGACAGACAGATAGAGACATAGACATATAGATAGACAGATAGACAGATACATAGACACATAGACACATAGACAAATAGTTAGATACCAAGATAGATAAATAGATAGATAGATCTATAGACAGATAGATAGACAGATAGACAGGTAGACAGATAGACAGATAGATAGAGAGACAGTTTGATCGATAGATGGATAGATGGCTAGACAGATAGATAGACAGATGGATAGATAGATAGATCGATAGATAGATAGATGGCTGGACCGATAGATACATAGATAGATAGATAAGTAGGTAGGTAGGTAGGGAGGTAGATAGGATAGATGGACAGATTGACAGATAGGCAAATAGACAAATAGTTAGATACCAAGATAGATATATACAAAGATAGATAGATCCTTAGACAGGTAGATAGACAGATAGACAGATAGATAGAGAGACAGTTTGATCGATAGATAGATAGATGGCTAGACAGATAGATAGATAGATAGATAGAAAGATAGATGGACAGATGGACAGATAGACAGATAGACAGATAGATAGAGAGACAGCTAAATAAAAAGATAGATAGATAGATAGATCGATAGATCGATGGATCGATGGATAGATGGATAGATGGATACATAGATAGATCGGTAGGTAGGTAGGTTGAAAGTCAGAGAAAGGGAGCAAAAGAGAGAGAGAGAGAGAGTGAGTGAGTGAGTGAGTGAGTGAGTGAGTGGGAGAGATCAAGCACCTTTCAGTCCATCAGTGGCTTCGCTCTGCCATCCCTGATTCACAACAACCAACCTCTCCTATAGGTTTCCGATTTTTGAAACTTCCGCCACCGCCTTGTGCGGTACTACTGGTATACAGACATAAAAATATATAGACATATACATATACACAAACACATACATACATACATACATACATGGATGGATGGATAGATAGATAGATACATAGATACATAGATACATACATACATTATGTATATATACATTTATATATATATATACATATGGTCCCGTGTCTCGTGTCCACGGCGCCCCCCTGCCCGTGGCAGGGAATAATTGGTATAATGCGATTGTGCTTCGTACCAGCCTGTAGGCACCGTGAAGCTATCTCATGTTGTTTTTTGCCGCTTCGACCAGACACGTTTCACGCAAAGTCTTTGCATCACAGTTTGATTCTACTGGGCCATGGACTTGTTTCTCGAATGGTACAAGAAAATGTAACTCAAAACTTGCTGGTTCTACGTACTTGCAACATGTTTACATATACTTGGTGGTTTTTCTCAATCAATTTAAGAGCACGGGACGTCAACATAGTATTCAAGGTATTGTTGAAGTTGAAAAAGGTGCCTTTTGAAACATTAAAAAAATACACATCCAGTGAAATGTAAATCACAGAAATCGTCTTGTACAGCAATGTTATCCCAAAGTTGGTGGAAAAACTAGAAGTATCAATGATAAACGCAAAAATATATATATATATATATTGCAATCTTACAAGATACCAGGTACAAGTTGCGACCTCAATGCTACTTACACGCTGCTTCTATCTTCTTTTTGTTTGATTAGTGAAGCCTCTAAGTCTCAACCTGCCTCCAGCAAGACTATACTTTGGCCGTCTCTGCCACACAGAGCACAATAGATCAGTTGGTCCGACCACAAACTAAAGATAAGAGCGTATTGGGAAAAGCAGAGCTGTATCTATAGACGGGCTGCCAAGACGTTTTTCCGACGAGATAGCTTATTCTGTGACAGCCGAACCATGTTGAAGCAGTCTTTCCTCGATCTTGTTCTCTTCACATGATTTCTCTTGACATCTGAAGCCATCTTCTCTTCAATTCCAGGTTGGGTTCCTAGTATGGATCAGCAAGGTTTGTCTTGAATATCCTTTCGTTCCAAGTTGCTTTTGACAAGTTTTTCATTAAGATGATCTTACATGTTGCAGTGGGATAAGTGTGATGCTGAGCGGTATTTTTCAAAACTGCTCCCAGAATCCTTGAAGTCAGGCATCACACCACCCAGCCGAAAATGCCCGAGGCACAAAAAGCGGACATGATGAGCCAATGGTGGCCATGGGGCGGGAGGGAGGGTATGCCATTCACGGGCTTGGATCGACATGCCAAAGCTAACTTAGGAACATCAAATCTTTGACCTGCAGATTTTGCATCGCGTTTGTGATAGAAAGCATGCCTTTCAGATGGCTAATTTGTTGCTTTTTTCATGGCTCTCTTTTCATGAGCTGCAAAGTTGTTCTGCACTTTTTGCCGTCAATCAATCTACCCGGCTACCTTGGAGCCAAGTAACGCCGCAAGAGGCTTTGCACAATTCATTCAAATATATAATTGAAGAATTCCCGGGTTTCCCTGCCACTTCAAAAAGTCAACCCATGTTCAGGCTGCAGACATACTATCAGATACGTGTCATGCAAACACACCCGAAGCGAGCTGGCAACCTTTTTTAAGCGCATGGATGTTCGAACTGCTACTTGCAAAGCTTTGCAGCTATGTACGCCAGCCCTCCTGATGCCCTGTGACCTGGTGAGGTTGAAAGGGGTCTTGTGCTTCGCACATGGGCGCTTCATTTTGGAAGCAGGGCGCTTTGCCACAAATTCTTTCACTCGCGCTGCATCTTTTTGCCGCGTGCTTTCCCATTGGCAGGTTGGCTTTTTGCAAGCTGCATGCTGCCCAGGAAGCCCAGCTTTCCTTGGTCCATAAGCCTTGGCCAAGCCTTCGGGCCAAAACTTGGCTGCTGGGCAACTGCGCTGCTGTTGGTGAATACAGCGCGGCGTTGTGTGAAAGCAGCTTCGACAAAGTGAGGATGCTGAGCTTGATCTTCAAGGTGGTTTGGTGCAAGCCTTGTGTTTGGAGGAACCAGCTGTTCATTTTGGCATGGAGGCTTTCATTGCTGGTTGTTCCAGCTGGGAGCATCATCTCCCTTGGAGAACAGCGATCGGAGCCGCAGGTTGTTGACCAGCCATTCCACCTGATCACCGTCTGTCGCGTGGTGCAACAGATCAACCAAACGTTTCCCATCCTCGGTTTCATTGGTGACTTCTGAGCGATACACGGCGCTGAAGGCGGCCAAGAACTCAATGAAGCCAGCGCGCCTGCACCACGTTGAAATCGTCTCCATGGAATTTAACAACCTTTGCGCAATTCCTTTTGTCATGCGGCCATCGCTGATTTGGCGTCGCAAGGTCGTTTCATGCGAAGTGAAACGGACCTCTGCATGACCAGTGAAAAAAGCACCCCAATCACCACCTTGGCCATCAGCATGGTTGTTGAACTTTGCAAGGCCCCGCCTCAAATATAGCAGACCCCGGCGTTTTGTGTGTTGCCGCCGCGCCTCATAGTGCATGGCCACATGCACCGGATCCAAAGCCAGTGAACGAAGATTGGGCAGCGTTTCCTTTCGCACCTCGTGCAGACGTTTGCTGGGCGCACCCGTTGCAACAAATCCTACTTGTTGCTTGCAAAGCACTGTGTGGCTGGAGAGAAATGGGATATGACATCATGGCACTGGACAGCATTGGGTAGCGCAATCAATTGTTGCACGCAAGGTCCGCATGAGTGTGTTGCTTATCAAGAATGGGGTCCCACCTGGTACTACCGCAATCTTCAGCTTTAAGGTTCCTATGGGCACTACCAAGGCTTCTTTGCTGGCCAATGTAGATTGATTCCCAAACTTTAACACAATCTGACATGGGCACCTAGACAACTTTTGGCGGATGCTTGCGTCCAGGCTGTTAATTAGGTCGCCAAGGTGTTAGCTTCCGATCACAGTCTTTGAGGCTCCCAGGTCCAGGATTCCATGAGAACCATGTGATGCGAAGCATGCAATGGCACTTTCGGTCTGATCAGGCATTTGGATTGAGCTCGTTACCTGTTCTGGGATCCTTGGTTCGTTTAAGACATCCTCTTGATGTCCTGTCTCCGGCACGGCACGATTGGGAAGGCTGTTCCTTCCAAGAAACCTCATACGACTTCTCAGTGGATTTTCACGGCTCAAGTGCTGGTGGGGATCTCGATGCTCATTCCTGAGGCCCCACGCTCCTTAACGTTCTTTGGCCGACTGCTGAGTGTTATTTCCCCAATTATCCCCACAAGATTCCCCATGAATCCCCCAATGATAATGAGGTTTACTATCACTCAAACGTTCACCAAAACTTGCCATCTATGGTCTCTTGGCCAACTGTGGGAAGGTGCAGAAACTCCAGTGGCATGGATGGCACGGTCGACGAACCTGCCACTGAAGAACCTGACTGCTTGTATGGGCATTCAGCTTTCCAGTGGCCTTTCCTATTGCAGTTGCGGCAATATGAGTTTAGGATACGATCCTGCAGACTACGCTTTGGTCTCTGGCCCCATGAGTTCTTACCCTTTCCGGCTCCCTTGGCAAATGAACCCTTGCCCTTGGAGGTAGAAAAGTTGGATTTGCTGGTGCTCCAGAAACCTCTGTTCCTGAACTTCTCGGTGAGGCGCCTTCTTGCCTCAGTGTAGGCACTGTAGGCCGAGGCCAAATCTCCGTCGTCCTGCAGCAACTCTGATGCAACTGACTCGAAGTCAGCTACTAGAGCCGCATCTGAATCTTCCTCTTGCAGCATGGCGTCCAGGAAATCATCCTCGCCTCCGTCATCATGGACCTGATACACCTGGTCCTCCTCATCTTCAGGTTCAGTGGTCAAGGTGGTGGCACTGTGCACCTTTGATTTCGAAGTCACCTTTTGGCCAGTCATTTCTTGGAAAAACGTTGCCCCAAGAATCCTGACTGCATCTGCTACCCTCTTGACTGTCAGCTTGCCTTCCAAACTGTTGTCAGCCTCCAGAATGACATTTTTCTTTTCTTCCGGTGTCCGGGTTGAACCTCGCAAGAGCACAAATGCTTGGAGGTCGGACATCGACAGTTTCTGCGCCAGAAATTTGCTCCATGCTATGTCTGATCGAGCTAAGTAGGAGTCATTCGACCCGTCTCTCAGCTGAACGGTGTTGTACAGAGCCTGTTCTGCTTCTTCGTGCTGTCGCTCAAGGCTGATACGGCCCCAGTGTCCTCCAAGGATTTCGATCAACTTGCGGACTGATTTCACGTCATTCTCCATGAGCTCGCTCTGATGCAACTGTAGTTTGGAGAAGGCAGATCCTTGATTGACAGTTGAGGATCAAATGCATGACTAGCTCCGTGATCTTGTTCGGTGGCCAGGCTGCCATGACCAACTCTACTTTCTGTTGATAAATCTACAACTGTCCTTTGATGGATCGAACGTCGGGACCAGTGTGGTAAGCTGTGTACCAACTGCGGTGTCGGTCCGTCCGCTCTCACCATCTGACATTTTTGGCATCTTGAACCTCCCTGGATCCTCTTCGGCTGGAAAAAGATTTCAGAAAAGTTTTCAGTAGTCCGAGCCGAGTGCTCCGCTACCAATGTAAATGGTAGGGAACCTTCTATGGTGGGGACCTCGATGACCTTGATCAAATGGACCCTGATCTGCGACCCTATCCAAACAACCGGTCAAAGGAATCCGCGCTGTCTCTTCTGTTTTGCACTGCCACTCCACAGATCTCCACCAATGGACGTCCACGTCCTATTCAGTGAGCCCGGTCGCTGCCAGTCGTAGCCACCAGCACCTGGCATCCAAGCCGTGATACCTGCAGTGGCTCATTCTCAAGTGGTCGGATGACCTGTTGGCTGCGTTTGGACGGAAAGCTGTATGTGCATAAATGGAAATCACAATCAATATATATATATATATAAAATATATAAATATATATATATATATATGTATATAATATGTATATATATATATATTATACGTATATATACACATATATTATACGTATATATATATATTATACGTATATATATATATTATACGTATATATATATATATATTATACGTATATATATATAATTATATATATTATGTATATATATATATACATATAATGTATATATATATATATTATGTATATATATATACATTATATATATATATAATATTATTTAATGGGCAAGAGTGATGGCCCTGTTGCAGCCGCCAGGGACATATGCTGGCCATAGCCGAGATGTATCGAGATATAACAGCATGTAACATCCATGCCAGCCAGGTTCTGCCAAGTTTCTGAATTCGTTCTTCCATACTTCGCTCAATCTTGGTGCTGTCGTGTGCATTCAGTTGAAGCATGGGCTGGCTGGCCTGAACTGCGTGCTACATCGTGCTACCAGATGAAGCCAAATAAACTGGGACGATGCTGAGCACCACAAAGACCAGCTGAGAGTTGAGAGCTGACATGAGCTGACAATTTTCAGATTGGGCAACGTCTTGAAAACCCCGAGACCGCATGCGACCGCACTGTAATGGGTTGGGCCAGGGTGGGCCCGTGGCTTCACAAATCCGGGCCCAACAAATGGTGTGCAGTCGTACAGCTTGTGTTGCGCAGCAAACTGTAAACATCATGACAATTCACTAAGGTTCATGGTTCATAAACTCTATATCCCTGTACATCAAGAAAATATCAAGACAATATCAAGACATGGTAAGGAGATGTATATAAGTAGATTGAATTTGACTTTTGGGAGGCAAATTCTCGGTACTTTGCCAAGCTGGCAACAGCTTTTTTACGTGGGTACTTCCTCCAAGCACCAGGTTGCCCCATTGCACCACATAGCACCTGCGTCTGCTTGTTCTCTCCTTGGAGCTGCTGCTTGGCATGTTCCAGCCCTGACAAAGTCTTGCGCGACTCGTTAGCTAGCTCACTGCATTGAGCTTCAGCCTACAGTGAGAGGAGGCCCGGACTGTGTGCAATGTGCGGACCCCTTGAACGACATAAATCATACTCACCCCTTTGTCTACAAGACTTTGATTGGGTGATTTCCGGAGAAAGCTCAATCATGCTTTGACCTTGACATGCTGCTATCCTGTCGACACACACACACACCCGTGAAGAAAAGCTGCGGTACCACCGCAATTCACATGTTTTGCCCAGGCCTTCTCTGCCCGAGCTGTTTCTCGCTCTAGCTGCGCATTCAGCTTTGCATTTTTCTGCTGAAGCTCCTCGCTGGTTTCCTCCATCTTGCGGCACTCAGCAGTCATCGCCTCAGCACAAGCTGGCAGCTAGCAAACGTAACTAACTAGATCAAACTAGGATGACAGGATGCCGGAGTCTTGAGTATCCGTGATTTGCCCAATTTGCCCAACATGGTTCGGTCCATTTCTCCGGACTCTGCTTGTGATTAAGAATGCATCAAAGGCACAGCCCCAAACATCTCTGTTGGACATTTTTAAACAATGTTTCTATGTGCTTGTCGGCACTGCTAGTGAATGCTCATGAATGTCATGATTCATGAATGCTGATGGTAACTGTTGCCCTGTATTAGTCAAGCGTCTATCATGCGCTCTTCGACCGACTGCACTCTTTTCGACATCTCATTGCTCTCAAGAACGAGATGCTCTTTATCAGCCTCTGCAAGTATGAACCGGTGCCATGCACAAGGCCTGTCTTTCCCTGAAAATAAGGCAGAACTTATTGAGACAGCTTTGAGACCTGAGGAAATTTCCTGAAACCATTGAACGCAAGCAGGGCCATAGCTGTAGGTAGAACGCGCCTCTAAGTTTCGAGTCTCTGTTTGCAGACGTTGCTTTTCCAGCCGAAGCTGTTCTAACTCCTGAACAGCAGCAAACTGCATCAGTCTTTGGCCAAGACTCATTTCAACACCGGCCTCTTTGTCTTCAAGAGTGTTGGCATTTGGTCGGCTTCCAAGCGCCAAGTGTAAAGTTCCGTTCGCTCAAAGAAATTACGTAATCATCGCAATATGATGTAATATGAACAGACTATATTGGAATCATATGGACTATGGCCGCCCATAGCGCACTATAGCCAGGAGTGTCTTTGAACAATGGAATCTGAAACTGTTTCCAGAAAAACATGGGAAGCACAAACCAAGTCATCGGTACACTGAAGCAGAACGCACTGTCCATCATTGAATCAAACACCGGCCTAAAGCTTTTCAGTTTGGAAAATGAAGACTTTCATTACCAAAGGCATCCAAAGGCCCTAAGGCGCTGATCTCCCATACAAAATCATACAAATGTACAACCACCAAAAAAACAGAGGTCAAGCTGGGATTTGGGCACTTCCCACCTATCTGAAAAAACCTATCTGATGGATTTCGAGGACATGTTTGACAGCAATAGCTGACAGGGCCCACCCCGCAGCCTTCTCTGCCCGAGCTGTTTCTCGCTCTAGCTGCGCATTCAGCTTTGCATTTTTCTGCTGAAGCTCCTCGCTGGTTTCCTCCATCTTGCGGCACTCAGCAGTCATCGCCTCAGCACAAGCTGGCAGCTAGCAAACGTAACTAACTAGATCAAACTAGGATGACAGGATGCCGGAGTCTTGAGTATCCGTGATTTGCCCAATTTGCCCAACATGGTTCGGTCCATTTCTCCGGACTCTGCTTGTGATTAAGAATGCATCAAAGGCACAGCCCCAAACATCTCTGTTGGACATTTTTAAACAATGTTTCTATGTGCTTGTCGGCACTGCTAGTGAATGTTCATGAATGTCATGATTCATGAATGCTGATGGTAACTGTTGCCCTGTATTAGTCAAGCGTCTATCATGCGCTCTTCGACCGACTGCACTCTTTTCGACATCTCATTGTTCTCAAGAACGAGATGCTCTTTATCAGCCTCTGCAAGTATGAACCGGTGCCATGCACCAGGCCTGTCTTTCTCTGAAAATAAGGCAGAACTTATTGAGACAGCTTTGAGACCTGAGGAAATTTCCTGAAACCATTGAACACAAGCAGGGCCATAGCTGTAGGTAGAACGCGCCTCTAAGTTTCGAGTCTCTGTTTGCAGACGTTGCTTTTCCAGCCGAAGCTGTTCTAACTCCTGAACAGCAGCAAACTGCATCAGTCTTTGGCCAAGACTCATTTCAACACCGGCCTCTTTGTCTTCAAGAGTGTTGGCATTTGGTCGGCTTCCAAGCGCCAAGTGTAAAGTTCCGTTCGCTCAAAGAAATCACGTAATCATCGCAATATGATGTAATATGAACAGACTATATTGGAATCATATGGACTATGGCCGCCCATAGCGCACTATAGCCAGGAGTGTCTTTGAACAATGGAATCTGAAACTGTTTCCAGAAAAACATGGGAAGCACAAACCAAGTTATCGGTACAATCGCAACCGCTAAAACAGCCCACGAAAGAAGAGAAGGCATTACAATCATAGCAGCACAGAGAAACTATTAAAAAGCTGGCTCCGCACTCTTCTCGTATGTAATCTTCTCTTATGTGGCTTTGAGATTGTTAACTGAGGGTGTCATCACCAAACTCCTTCCTGTTGAAGAATATCATGTACAATCATGTAATCATGTATATGTAATATGTTTACTATATATAATATATATACATATATCTACACATTATATAGAACTATAACTATAGACATATTTGTATACAAATGCTTCAAATCTATTTAAACATGCTTGTTTGCGACACTTATCTATGTGCATACACATACGATGACATTTAGTTCTAATATGTACTTTATTCATCTTTCTTCCATTTTATTCCAAACCTTCGAAAACTATCTAGTTCGCTACTTTCTCACTTCTTTGAGATGTTTTAAGCTTTTGAGAGGGTCATTCTCTACTTGCTCATCTATTTTCCATAATTCTGCTCACAAACATCCAAACATGCACAGACTGTGTCGGAATCCTGCAGCCTCTCCAAGTTGGTGATTGCCTGGCAGCGATGGACAGGTCGGACAGAGCATCCAAGCCCCTCTGGCCAAAATGGGCCAAAGAGATCCAAACAACCAACGAATACCGAAGGAATTGCTTTCCCAAGTCTGCGCAACTTTCGTTCAACGGGCTTGCGTCAACCAGCACACCATAGCAGTCCCTAGCAAATATGCTGAATATAGATTGATTTGATTTGCCTGGGCCATACGCCTACAGGTACCTATTTAGAAGCTCTTGGTTTGAAGTTTCGCGCAGGATGGTTGAGATAGGAGGGTCTGTAAAGCCCGAAGATACGGATGACGGACAAACCTTCCCCATAATTAGAGCTACCATCCGCTTGATTGAATGGGCCCCATCTTTGCAAATCTTTGTGTCCGTGCCAGTGAAATTACGATCTGGCTGATAGAAAAGGAAAGCGCTTGTAGCCTCCATTGGAAAAGCAGCCGTTTTCACTTGAGATGTCAAAGGTGCACCTGTCACTGAAACCTGTATGAAATGCTATGTATGCACATGCCCAAGATTTGAGTCTGCTCTTGTGTTGAGCTGGCTTGGGTCTTACCTGTACATGTCCTGCTGTGAAAAGTGGCGGTAGGCATTGCGTATGCGGATTGCATACTGACGAGATGAAAGGTCGTCCTGCAGCCTTGCCACAAATCGATCTAGCCTAAAACCATGCAAACCCAAAAGGTTGGTGAACCTGTACACGGTACCCTCCGACTCGTGCAACTCGTAGGTCACCTCATGGTTCTCGGCCTCCACAATCTCAATGCGCTCATTGGGATCGTCGCCATGTCCCACCAATGGTGCGTGAGGAGCATGTTCTGCATATAGTGCATCCACCACGTCGAAAGGGACGTGTCCGTTGGGGAAGTCCATCATTCGCTGCACCAGGTAGATCTGCAGGTTGTTGTTCTCGATGAGAAGATTGTGTCTCAACGCTGCACGATCTCGGGCTCGTTCTTGTAACACCTCTGGATCATGAGTGTCTTCATCCAGTTCGGAATCCCTTGGCGTACCATCATCTCTTGACCTTGAGGCTCTCTCTAAGAAGTCGGTCTCGAGATGTGTCTCGTCCTCTGGTTGTCCAGTAGACGGACGGCCAGGGTGATGTCCTTCTGGTTCCCTTGTGGGTGTTCTGCTATCACCCAGAGTTGTCCTCGGCCTTGATGATGAGGGTTCATCAGGATGTGGAGGAGCACCACGACGAACTGCTCGAAATAGAGTGTTGATGTCCTCGTCCATAGCTCGTGCGTGGCACTGCAACTGTTCCAGGCTTGTCAAAGCATGGTCACTGAAATCGTCCATAGTGTTTTCAGCCACCAGCATGCGATGCACCAATGGTCGGACCACATTGTCCGCTTGGTTCTCCAAAATGTCCCTGAGGTTCTTGATTCCCTTCCATAGGTAGTGGACAGCTGCACAAAGTCCACAAAGTAGTATGATCATGACTGACAAGATCATAGACTGTGCTCTTGGAAGGTTTCCCTCAGGCTCCTGTGAAACATTTTCGTTGTCCTGGCACTGTTCTTGATGTGCTCGGACTTGCGCCGTCATGTAGAGCGCTGTCACCAGCATCCAGCTTGGTCTCATAGTCCAGCTTGAGCTCATAGGCATTGATGCAGTGTGTTGGATTTCCTTGATGTCCTTCACCGTCACCAATGCGCTCAGCCATTTTTGATCTCCTTCTTCCAACTCTGCCTCAGTGAAATCATGTTGTGGCGGTAGCCGCCGTGCTTCCAAAGGATGCTTCTCCTCGTTCTTGAACTCCACAATTCCTGTCGTGAGCAACGACAGAAGCTGCCTTGCCAGCATCACCTTCGTCAGGCAGTCTGCCACCATGCTCTGTGTAGGAACCAAAATGGTCCATCGGAGTCGCCCCACCAGTCGTGCTTCTCGATGGCAAAGCACGTAGACCCGTTGGGACTTGTCTTGTGGTAAGCTTGACTTTCCAGTCGTCAGCTCGAAGAAGTCCCGGCAGTCTGTCATGCAGTCGACCGGCAGGAAGTCACATCCCTTCTCTTGAGTGGCTGCCAAAGCTTGCAACGTCAGCTTCTTGTCCTTGCAGAGGATCTCATAGAGCCGCAAAACCACCAAGGAGGATGTCTCCAATCCACTGATAGCTGCCAGAGTTTCGGCATGCGAAGTTGAGTAGGAGATTCTTTTCGATCTCGATCCTTGCACGTAGAGGATGTGTGCAAGGCCACCAAACCGTGATTCACTCACGCTCAGCCCGTCAATGGTGTGAACCCGGGCATCCAAACCAAGCTGATCTGGCATCAGCAAAACCATCACGCCTTCCTGTGAATAGGCGCGGTCTTTTGTAGCCGATGAGGCATCGCGCACTACAGTCAGCTTCCAGGGCATTGTTGAAGGGAAGCGCTTGTAGATGATGCCAACTCCTCGATATTGGTTCATCTTGGCCTTCTTGATGATGGCATTGGCCAGAATGAGGTCGCTCACCTTGGCTCGTGTCACTCGTGACTGGAGCACCCCAATGTCGGCCACCAAGTCCAGCCTCGTAGCTGTGACCCATAGCAATCCTCCAAGGATGCTTCTCAGTTGTGATGTTTCCTCTGGTGTCAGAGGTCGATCTGGGTTCTTGATGTCTTTGAGGTCGTGGACCTTCATGGCATCCACAAACTCTTGCTGATCCACTTTGAATCCATCTGGGATTTTGCTGTATCGACAGCCGCAGTGCACAAAGGGAAGGTTCTGCACTGTGATCTTCCCGAACTTCTGTGAGAGGAACTTGTGCTTCTGCAGCATGAAGTCTGGAGCGCCAGCAATGGCCAAATCATCGACATGTGTCGTCAGGATTCCTTGTAGATGTCCTTGAGCATCTTTCCAAAACCAAAAGTTTTCATCCAAAAGAGATTGGGTGCCACCTGTCTCTTGCAACGTCTCGTGAAGACATAGTTGCCAGGCCAGTGGAGCATCCACCAATCCATATGCAGGTTTGTTGCACAGCAAACCCACATGGCCAAGGTCTGAATCTTCGACTTTGAAGGATGGGTCGAAAGATTCCAAGTGTTTCCAAACATTGGCCGGTGGTATGATCACCACTTTCCTCGAAGGGCTTGTGATTCCTCTTCGTAGTAGAGTCTGTCTGACCTTCTCGAAAGAGAACCCCTTGAGGAATGCACCCGAGATGTCCCAGCTGGCTAACTCCAAATTGTGAGTGGCGGCACAAGAAAGGATCAGCCGTTGGCTCAATCTTGTAGCTGTGGTAGATCTGGTTGGAAGTTCGGTCTTCTGTGGGTCCAAGAAGCCACGGGCACAGAGCCGAGATTTCGGCTTGAGTTTTCCATCAGCCCGCTTGAACTTTCTCACCCAAGTAGCATCGACAAAGATGGTGTCCTTGTCCATGTCGTCCAGCTTGACTCGGGAGAAGACCTTCTGCTCAATGAATTGGTGAAGCTCTGCGCGATCACTTGCGTCGAAGGCTTCCCAATGTTTCCAGACATCTTGATCAGTGAGAACGTCAGTCTGTTCATCCACTCTGTAGATAAGTCCATCCAACAGGTGGATGTGCAGCTGAGCTCTGGTTCGGCAGTAGCAGTGGAGAAGGTAACGCTCTGAGCGTGTCGTAGAAGTTGATTGAGGTTTGTTCTTTTGAGTCCACATCACCTCGTTCTCGTACCAGATGTAGTGAGCTTCCATCAGGACCTTTCTTGACCTCTGCATCATCCACCAAAGTGATCTTCGATGCAGTTGCTCCTGCGAGATAAATCCAACTCGCTGCTTCTTCTTTTCGGGAGCAAGAATGACAGTTCGACTGTCAGGTCCTTTCCTCTTCTCAGCTGTGGATCCATCTCCAAGTCCAAGTCCATCTGATGAACCCGCAGCATCAAGAGGTTGTTGATCTGGTTCTGTTTCCATAGGTTCTGAGGCTTGTGGATCTTGCCGTCGAGTGATCTTGACAGGGATGTTGTTGTCCTCAGATTCCAAAAGGATGTAGCCGTAGATGAAGAGATGACACACCTTGTCCAGCTCCTTGTTCAACAGAGCTTTGAGATGAATGTGATTGTCGCTGTTGTGTTCTGTGATGGCCACTCCAATGAGACCTTCAGTCCATGTCAAGAGGATGCCTTTGGAGTACTTCGGAACCATCACCACTTTCATCCCTTTGCCAAAACGCAGACCA